AATTTTATTCTATAAATTTATATATTTTATTCCTTTTGTCCTTCAAGAGTTTGAATATATACAAAGTCCTTGAAGGAGTGGGAATTTGGGGATACTTCCAGTGAGCAACCCCCTTTATAATCTTATGAAATATCGTTTTATTAAATAGTATTATTACATATTATATTACATATTGAGTATTTAATATTCAATATTCATTTAGCAGTCTTTTGGATACTATGGAGTATCTCTAAGGCTGACACAAACCGTCAGCCTTCAAAAGGTATTTGTATTGAATTCTCATGCAGCTTCTAACACCAGCGTTGATGTTGCACATTTCAATGTCATTTCCGACATTCACTAAGACTTTACAATCATATCAACCTTCAAAAGCAAAGGCTATGTATTACACCATAGGACCTTCAAACAAGTAAAACCCCCAACATCTGGGGCAAAAACAAGCAGCCTCCCCAAATTTGGGGGCATATACTAGTATATATATATATATATCAGAATCCATTGGTCACTGTTCATACATCCTTCATGATGGCCGGGATGGAAATGTCAGGCTAGCCTGATGTGTGCAAGACTCCAGCTCCCACCTGCCTGCAAATTGGGGTATGATGAATTGACTAGGGAGATTAAGATAACACCTGTAAAGATGAAGGGCCCAAACGGCCCATCTTCCTGAGATATCCATATATATAACCCTTGGGCAACTTGCTTAGAAAATCAATCATCAATAATGATAGCTGACAACATATCTTCCCAAGTCCTTTTTTCCTGTTTACTTGAATAGCCTCAAACCCCTATGTAATTGACTATTGATTTGTCTTTGGAAATTGACCACAACACATGTAAGCCTTTGTTTTGGATATTTTATTCAAGTTGAGCCAAATCCTCAAACAAAGGCACCCAAATCTACCCTCCCTTGATTTGGTTCAACATGACTTTTAGGCCCTTAAACTGCACACTTGGCAAATATCCTCCAGCAGACAAGGGACTCATGCTGGGTTTGATGTGTAACATGTTTCAACACATCTGAGCTCACTGAGCAACAAAAACATCTTAGTTTATGGAGGTTACAATGAATTGAATCAACTAGTGAAATTAACTTGCAAATATTAATTTGTATAACAATAGTACTTATTGATCTTGAAACTTTCCAACATGCTTTTATGCCTGACTATTTGTTAGCCCTAGAGATTAGTAGTTAATTAACTTTTTTTGTTTCATCTCTTGGCATAAATGTGAGTCAAGAAACGTGAGCCCAAAACAATCACCACCAAGTTGGCAGCAATGTAAACCACAAAGATTCCAAAATCTCTCCATCGATCCTCAAACCTCATGTCATTAATCCTCAGGTCTGCCAATTTGGAGAAGTTAGGTTAGAATGCGGATGTTCTGGTGTTGTTAGTGTGTATGGGTTGCTCTGATCGACGTACATTCATTTCCATTAGAGAATTGACAGTACTGGCAATCTGAGCTGACTTCGCCGTTGAGCAAGTATCCACCAAAAGAACTGACAAATGGTCCCGCCCATTGAGCACAAGTCTGACCACTAGGTGGTTGGAAAACCGTGCTGTGAGAACAAATATATATCAGTTACTACACTATAGGTCAATTCAGCATCAAGAGATACTGACTATTCCTCATTCCTGCAGGCAATGGGCAAATCATGCATCTCGTTGGCAATCGTTCCAGAGATGAATCGGGTGATGGGATTCAATTCGTACAACCCTGAAAAAGTGGTGTTCCTAATCAGAATAGGGAGGCATCGACGATTGATTCAGGATGAAAACGTTGCTTACATACTCTCCAGAACCCAGGTAGTCGAGCCTTGGGCACAGTAACTCCACAAAACAAGGTCAAAGTCACGATGACAGGGGGGTTCGCTTTAGCCGCAATAAACATGCTGGGAGATAGAGCAGCAATAGCCTGCCCAAGAGTAACGGCGTATGTCTCGAGGGCAACAACCACTGTGAATGTCACAAGCACAATGATCGTATGTAAATCAAGTGAACTGGCTAGGGGCTAGGACTGGCTGCAAAAGATTGCTTACTGAGAAATGCATAACCTGCTCGATCACTGGCGCCCTGAAACCCCACAAGAAAGTACCACAGAATGAAGAAGACGATTGCGCAAACCAAAGAGTATGGCATCTCAGCCAAAAACTGGGCGATTCCAAAAGCGACGGGCGAATACATTTTAGAGGAAGACTCTCTCAAATAGATGTCCCGCGCCATTATGAACGTAGGTTCTACCTGGGCTGTAATCTAGAATATAGGGATGGTAAAATTACATTTAACATCAACATGCCAAAGGGTTCTCATGATAATCTCAACCTAAAGCTCTTACCAAAGGAATCAAAATGACCACTTGAAAAGCAGCAAATATGCGATTTTGTAGATCTCCAATTCCATCGGAGAGACGCAAGAAGGTCAGGCCTGTAATGAGTGCTATGGCGACGTGATTGAATACCCGCGTGACTTCATAATCTGCATTGCGATAAAAGCTCAAATTCGTCCGGTCAACAACAGTCTTTAACTGGTAAACAAATGAGGTAGCATCTGTTCAAATTTCAAACAAACAAAATGTGTGTCAGCTTGCTTCAAGAGGTTCATCCGGGCAGAAAACTAGATCCAACATTTCATCTCTTTGACGGAAGGCCCCTGTTGAGAGTGTTCTTTCAGCGACTGTTCCTTCAAACGCTTTATTTCACGCATGTTTTCAGCGTGTTCGAGAGACTCTACCCAGCGATCCGCCCAGTCTTTGGTACCGCCGTACTGCGCTGAAGTCCCAGCACCGATGGCTTCCAGCATAAACTCCGCAGGATTACCATCTTCCGGACATTTCGCTCCGTTTTTCTCAAAATACGACCGGATGACATGAGAATCATGACCGATGTCACCAAAGTAGACGCACCGACCTCCCTGTTTGAGCAAAAGCAAGCGGTCGAAGTTTTCGAATAGCAGTGCGTTTGGCTGGTGGATTGTGCATAGAATCGCCTGGCCAGCGGTTGCCAACTTTCGTAGAAAACGGACAATGTTATAGGCACTCTGCCCATCAAGACCAGACGTAGGTTCATCGAGAAATAAAAGTAGCTGTGGTTTGGCCGCTAACTCAACGCCGATTGTGAGCCGTTTTCGCGCTTCCACTCCAAGGCCGAACCCAGGAAATCCAATCATAGCATCAGCAAGATCTTCGAGCTCGAGAAGTTGTATCATCTCTTCGACGTATGTGTTCTTTTCTTCAATTGATACATCTGCTGGTTGGCGAAGATACGCTGAAAATCGCATGGCTTCGCGAACGGTGGCTGTCCATTCATGTACATCTTGCTGCTCACAGTATGCCGTTCCTCGCTGAAAGTCTGCACCGGGTTTTCGGCCCGCGATGCAAATCTCACCGCTAATTACCCCCTATGATTCACAAAAAGGAGTGATGTTAGGTTTTGAAAGATTCTCCAAGATGGTCAGTGTAGAAGCTTACTGTTGTTTTGCGATCTGCCAATACATCTAGTAAGGTGGTTTTACCTGCTCCAGAGGAGCCCATCAAAGCAGTCAATGTCCCCGGCTTAACGTATCCGTATATGTTTGTAAGCAGTTTCTTGTGACCACCGGGAACAGATACGCTATAGCTCAAATCTTCCCATGTGAAGGGCTTGCGAGTCTGTATCAAACTTGATAAGTCTTGCGTCGCTTTGCCAGTCCGAAAATCTTGTTTTCGCTCTTGTAGTTTTGCATTCAGCGTCTTGCGTTCTGCGTTCTCCTTTGCGAATACGTTGATTGCTGGGCTTCCAGACCCCAGCGCCAAAGTTTCAACGGCGATAAAGAGAAGAATGAGGAAAAGGGCCGCGAAGGCGCACTGTAAGTCAAAATGGCAGCGTCAGCTTGATATCATTGACCAAGTCTTGAGTATGGATTTTTCGATGAAAAAGAACCTACCACAATAACAAAATTCCTCCAAACATGCGATTCAGAATATGAGAAATTGCTGCGGATGTAGTCTTCACCGATAACGTCTGGGCTTCCAGGTCTCGATCCCAAGACAGTGCACGCTTGATTCACGCCAAGGTTAGCTGGATAGCCTGGACCCCGAGGAGCGATTGAATCACCTGTACAAGCTCTAAGACAAGTCGAATGTCAAAAAGGTTAATGATGCAAAAGAGGAGCATGAACTCTACTTACAAACTGATTCGACCAAACTCATTGCCCATCAATGCTGAAAATGCGTAATTGACTGGATTCATATAATAAATCCAAATGAGCCAATCTTTCATAGAGCTGTTGGAAGTCGAAAAGGCGTCAGTCAGGAATGGATTCAAATCCGATTAAATTGTAACTGCACGAGAAAATCAGACTAACCGTCTTGGAATCATGTATCCGCTGTAGATCGTCATTAAGATGACCAAAGAACTGGCTAATCTTGAAGCCGTGTCGAAGCTGAAGGAGATCGCTCCCAAAACTTTAAAAAAGCAACTGAGCGTGTAGTAACCCATGTAAACGATTAAGCAGTAAGTAAAGAAGGCAGACGCAGTACGATTCAGGTTGGTCATGAAGTAAAGCTAGTTCAAGAAGAAGAAAAAAAAGAAACACATTCAACATTATAATTCAGTCTGATTAACTGATTTAGCCAGTAAAAAAAAGGAAAGTAATAAAACTTACAATCAATGAAAAAATGAAAACCTTTGGCAAAGAAAATGGGATCTCTGCTATTGCACCGGCCAACGCACGTGCTCCAGGGCGGTAGAAGCAAAATGAAGTTTGTCGCCACATAATTGGCCTTCCCAGCATTTGTTTTGGAAGTTCAGAAAAGGCTGGACAAAACAGACCGGAGCTTAAATCAGACAAAACATCCTTCTTGACAGAAGTTAGAGCGAGTAGCAGACTTTTCTTGCTCACACATAAAGACATTAAATAAAAGCCCCATAAAAATCACTCCACCCCTTGTAAAAGCGCCAGCAGTGGTTAAAGGTTGATCCAAAAAAACACTACCGATGACGATAGATATTGATAGCGCCGTCGCCCACTCAAAAACTAGACTCTTCCTATCTTGCAGAGTAAGTTGTACATCACGAATGACCAAGGCTTGCAGTTGGCTTATGAGGCTGACTGTATAAGGCGACTTCAGACGGATGGGATAAGATGTTTTTAGTAAACCAAAATGAAGTTTTGCATGAAAACTGTATTCGCACCTTTTTTCGAACACCTTTTCCCTGGTCTCGCTTGACTGCCTCTTTAAAATCGTTTTGGAACCGCAGCTCTTGGGCAAGATACTTTTTGTAATCAAGTCTTTCTTCCTCAATCCTTTGATAGATACTACTGTTGAGGTAAGCTAGGTTCATTTCTTCAGGTGATTGAGGGATCTTATTAACATCGATACCATCCTGGAACTGTCGCTCATTCGGGTCAGTGCAGCCAGTGAGATAATCGGCTGTTGTTTGTCGAGGTAGATTCTTGTAACCCAGACTGATCAGATATGGACGTGCTTCTTTGGCTGGTCCGAAATAAGCCATTCGTCCCTCGTTGAGCAGGAGGACTTTGTCGAATTGTTCATATATACCTTCACCGGCTTGGTACAATGTAACAAATATCGTGGTAGAAAAAATATTCGCCAGAATGCGAAGAGACTTGGCATATTCCAAGGCAGTTGACGCGTCAAGACCTCGTGTAGAATTATCCCACGACAACACACAAGCACGAGTGGCCATCATTTCGGCAATAGAGACGCGCTTGCGCTCACCTCCCGACACCCCTCGCACTTGAGCGTCTCCGACCACTGACAATTCACAATTTGAAATAAATTCCATTAGCAATCAAGTCCCAGACAGCGTTACGGGTTGATTATGATCTTACTGGTGTTTTTAGTGTGGCTGATCCCTAGCATCTGAAGAAAGATATCCATCACTTTCTCAATAAATGCATTCTTACTCAGATGAGGTAAGAGACGTCCAGGAGCTTTGGTGGATAAAGCAAACTTGAGTGTCTGAGCTACAGTCAGCGTAGGAAGGTGTATATCATCCTGCAATCAAAATTAATGAGGATCAAGATCGAATCAAATCAACAGCTTTGCTGAATCAACCAGCGCAAATCCAACTCACCTCCGGATTATAGACAACCCTGCGTTGAGGATTAACAAGATTTATTTGTTAACTTAGAATTCGTGTTTTTAGGTTTTGAATGGCCCTCGGGCGTTTCGATTCATCGGAAAGGTTTGGAATGGATCTTCTGCTTACTCTCCCTTGAACTGTTTTGCCATGACGTCCGCGGGTAGTCCACCGTAAGTGACATCGCCATCAACCCGGATGAAACCGATCCTTTGATTAGCGATCGCTTTCAAAAAGGTCGAGCATCCGCTGTTCGGCCGACCCAAAACTAAACACATCTCTCCGGGCTTAAGGAAGCCGCTCATCGGATATAGAATTTGCTTTGGAGGAAAGCTCTTTAGCCTCATCATGACCGCTACGACCGGAGCCATGAAAAGGCCCATAAGAGCATCTGGGAAAGTTCGAATCGGAAGTTTCATACCGCCGGCACCGAGGACTCCGAGGTTTTCAAAGACAACACCTAATTTCTTGGGGTGTACGTGAAGTGCATCGTGCGATTGGGAAGGAGGCCGCTAGAAAAAAAAATGTTTTCAGCGATGGTGAAATGGGAAAAAATGATATCGAAGTGTTGTACTACTTCAAAATTCTGAGTAAAATTGTGAGTCAACACTGACCAGATACTGTAGCAGGTCGAATGCCACATGGCCGTCTTGTTTCTCCGGATCCTTCGAGCCTCCCTCCGCCGATAAATGTGCTGAACTGAATAACACAGAATGTGGAAAACAGATTCAGCAACCGATCGGTCTCAGCCGGGCGATTCTCCAATAGCTTGCTGAAAATTTCAGTTGATCAATTGGAGGGCCGCATAAGCTGGGGATTGACTGGGCAGAAGATTGAGATTTACGAAGCTTGTGTGAGCTGACGCCGCAACTCCGCAAAACTTTTTTCTGCTTGTTGGACATCGACCTTGGATTCAATTCGAGGATCTTCTTTCAGTGGAACATCTTTTTGATCGACGCCTGCTTCAATCCGCTCGCCATGGCTCCCAAAGGAACTTGAATGCGAGCTTAGCGTCAGATTAGAATCCTGACCGGGGGCGTCCACGTCCGTGATATCGAGGTGAATTTCGGCACCATCATGCGAGTCCGCAGGCATGACGATAAGGCGCTTAGTGTCCTAAGGAGGGTTTGTAAAATCACTCGGACGACGTTGGTTCTAAGTGGAACGGGTCCAGAAGGGTGGAAGGAAGGGGACGTTGATAACCAAAAGGGGGTAGCTTGATTCTCTTTGAGGTCCAGAATGAAACTGCTACTGTATTTAAAAACGGCTTCCTAGCGCCTTTTCAAGAAACCAGAAGTCAGCGGTCACAGATGGGTTGGGAGAGGTTAGAAGAATATCAAAGGCAGTAGGCGGACCCCAAACAAGATCCTACTCGAGCCAATTCACAAATACCAATGACGCGACGAATTGAACGAATTAGATTGTACTTGTTCGCGCCTGCAGAGATGTAAAGGGATTTTTTGAAATCAATTTGCTGTCACCTGAAACGTAGAAATTGGACAAAGCACATGGAGGATTATAAACATCAGCAACCCATTCACTTGGTGCCGGGAGTATGTATGGCTAGAAATGGATTGAGATCGGCAATGGAAATTCCTCCATCAACACGGTGTTTGTATGATGTGGTAGTGATAGAGGATCAAGTTTGCTCCTAGATCTTGTAAGCAAACTTGAGTTCCAGAAACTCGAGCCTTGACAAGGTACAGTGAGTTATCAGATGATGGATTGGCGTAGGCCAGAGTTAATCGCTGGAATTAGTCTGTGGAGGCCTGCCAGGGAGACAAAGCAACCTGCAGGAAACAAGTCAAATCGAATCGACCTTTGTTTCCTACATTGTAGCTTCCCGACGATTGAGGGCCAGGGCACATGACCGCTCTGCCAACTTTGGATATTACCCAAGATTACCCAGAAGCGAAATTTGACATGAATCTTTGGATGAATTGAGTTCGGCGTGGCGGTTATGATAACACAGAGAGTCTTCTTTCGCTGCAAGCAGGATATTCGTACGACACTGCTTCATAGAATGCTGTTGCACGATACGAACACTTCATTAGACATCGCAAGTTCGGGCAGGAGCTGGCAGGAGGGAAAGCGCTTTTGGATTTGGAGCTGCCGAGTTACTGCAAGAATATATATGCATTCACATCAATCATGCAAATTTGGGTCTCGACGGATAAAAATGATGAGAAGGCAGTACACAATCAATACTTGAGCAGCCATGTGAGGCAAATCAGTTATAATGGTATGACGAGACGACTGTGTACTGGAATATTTTATGATTGTTTATCTCACGTCCACAAATCTGAGACGCATACATAGTCATGATCCACAACCATGTGTGTCCTATTAAATCACTCCTCTGGGGCAGGAGTTGACCAGAGGATGACTTCATGGACACATAGATCATTGGGGCGGCACTCGATGGACAAGGAGGCTGATATGTAAATAGTCTTCACATCACCTGCACGAGCAACGGATGATGAGCAGAATGTCAAGATAAGGGTCCGGGTGTTGGTTGACCTTATCCGGCGATGGTGGTTGACTGGTGATGTGATCTCTCTGGTGAAGAAAACTTATATTGCGAGAAAATGGTTGGTTATAGACCCACCTTTGAATGGAGACGGTTGTACGTTCTGAGTTCTCAAACTTGGAAACTGGAGTGAGTCCGATCCAATCGATTAGAGGACCGAAGAAGCTGAAGGCTTGTCGCAGAGATAGAAGCTGGCTATAATGAGGAGTATGTATGAGGATTAAGGCAGATGATGATAAGAGAGCTGGGAAACAAGCCGGGTGTTCCGTGGAAGGAGAACGAAAGCTTACAAACAATCTGTGTGCTGGGTTAACTTCAACTTCAACTACAAATCCAGCCGAGAAATTAGTATTATTGATTAATACGCCCAAATCAACGGAAACCTAAATATTCTTTAATTATTTAAATATGTATGAAATCATGAAATGCTCGCTCGAAGCCAGCAATCGAATTGCTGGTTGATGAATGTTTGTTGGCCTGGGCTGCTGAGATCACTCGGCTCGGCAGGGCTTAGTGGGACTGCTGATAGTTATCGCAGTCTGTTTTTGGGTGGAGTGTTCTATCGACGATCCCTGCAGACTGCGATCGGCATTGTGAAGTCGAGCGACGAGCAGGACGTTAAGACCAACCTCCGGCCTAGGTTTCACCGGTGCCCAAACCGATCAAAGGTTTCTGCGCTTGAGAACTGGGAGAGAGAGAGAGAGAGAAAGAAAGAAAGAAAGAAAGAAAGAGAGACTTGGTTCGAAGCTAACAATACCATACTTAAGCCAGCATCTCAGCGATCTGAGAATCTGCTTCTTTCACGTGATCTCTGCGGATTGCCTTTAACACGTGTGGGGACAGCTTGGAAGTTCGGAACAGCGGGCTGAGCTGGGCTGAGTTGTGCGGTTGCCTGCACGGCTTACATGTTTCTTATAAAATATGTACATCCACACCGAACAGCTCCCGTTGCAAAACCTTACGGAGACCGTGCATCTTTATTCAGCGGCCGGGTCCGACGGGCGAGGACATGACCTCATGAGCGGCCGAGTTCTCTTCGCGAGGATACAGTACAGGTTTAGAACACAGAGCGTTGTGGGATGGATCGAGCGAATTTTGAGATCGGGAAAACTTGGAGTGTATCTTCGGAGGCGGGGAGGGGACGGTGCCCTGCAGAGAAGGGTCTTGGTGGCGTGCAGACTCGGACGCGGCTGGAAATGGTCAAACCCGCTACATACTACATAAGCCCTTAAGTAACGGTCTTCAACCACTTAACCTTTAATGTGCTACAACTTGATACATATGTAACTCTCTTCTGGAGAACAGTACCATCGTGGGTGACCAGCATTAAGGTGCCAAAGTGACTCAACTATCCCAGCTTCCCCAATCAACTGAGGAATGTATAATTGAAGGCTTTTTGTTTCTCTGCAGTGTACAGTGGCGCGCGGCAAATATTGCACTGTACAAGGCTGCCCGCAAAACTTTTCTGGTCGCGCGGGGTTAAACCCCGACCCCGATGGGGGTCCAGCACTTGTAATAAGTGTGTTTTTGGAGTCTACAGGGTGTGTAGATTCCAAATCTAAAGTTGCAAACAATTTGGTCCAGCCAAAAAAAAAAAAACTTTTTTTTTTCACTCGACCATTCGGACATAGGTCGTGTATGGGGGTCTTAGTACATACTTATGGGTTAGGGAGGTATCCTAATCCCATACTCACATGGCCAACTGTCAGCCAAAACCCATAAACATGAGCTTAAAGTGTATTTCACAGGTCAATTACAGCAGCTGTGACACCGGATTTACATCTCAACCCCCCAAAAACAGGTGAAAATCACAAAAAAAATCCAAGTTTTGGGCCCCGACCTTTCGGACATTGCAAAACCTTGTACAGTACAATGCCGCGCGCCACTGTACCTCACATTTTTCCTTATCTTGATCCCATTTTTTTTCCAATTCTCCAAACTGATCAATTTTTCCTGTTCATAATCCTCAAGAATTGCACCCATTGCTGCAAGTTTCAACAATTGCAGTGATCTCTTTGGATGGAGATAATCTTCTCCACTGGGGGCTCTAGCCCTCTCTATCTTACTTCAAATCAAACAGATATTTCATAATGCAAGTTGTCATATGCTGAAGCAATCACCCAATGATTCAAACAGGTATGTACTGATTTATTCAAATTGTTTTCCTGGGACGCCCATAACATTAACAGAACTTGGAACAGGTCAGCTTACATTTGCACAAGGGCATCATTAATGGGGCCCAATAAATCAATTGTCTATCAGGAGGCCTTGAGATTGGTGTTTTGCAATGTAGTTGATCATGTGGTTCTTCACAGAAAGAAAATGGAATTTGTAAATAATAAACGGGATAAACTAATAGGGTCGTAGTTAAACGACTCCCAAATATTGGAGTTGCGACTCCCAAATATTTGGGACGTCGCTAAGACCCCATGCGGACGGTCCGCAGGCCGTCCACCCCCGGAGACAGGAGTCGGACCTCCCAAACCTTCAACAGGTTTGGGAGTCGATCATCCCAAAAAAAAATAAAATAAAAAGATAAAAAATGAAAAACTCCGGGGGTTTTTGGGAGTCGATCTTCAAAAACCCCCAGGGAGGTTGGGAGTCGGCGCCGGACTCGACTCTCAGCGGCGGAGAGGAATCCCTCTCCGCCGTTGAGAGTGTATACTCTCACCGGCCAAGAGGGATTCCTCGATCAAGCTGGCTTTGATTTGAATAAAGGATTCATATTGAATATGATTACTCATTCAATCCACACAATAGGACAGTTCACATCTGAGCTTTGAGGCAAATTTAGGGGCCTGTACCGTAGGGCTCAATTTTCAAAATGGGCATTTTTCCATCCTCTACACAAAACTGGGAACAATGGAGAGATCTGGTGTTGAAATCTTCACTTTCATGCCAAGACTAGCTTCTAGTTATGGTCAATTTTGTTAATATAAAATTTTGAGCAAGATAAATTTTGGGAAATTGAATTTTCATGTCCTATGGTACAGGCCCTTAATGACATTTATCATTCAAATTTGGTGAATTTGTCAAAAATCTCAATTTCATCCAAACCTGATGATTCATGAGATTTGACAAGATTCTTGAAATTTTATCTACAAATGTGCTAGAAACTGCCTTGAACTTTAGACGTGAACTGGCCTAATGGATTTTGAGGCCAGCAAAAATCCCTCAACTCTTATATCCTCAGGCCAGAATCCCTCACAGCTGTCTATAGGGCAATAACACTTGTTCTTCTTCTGTGACTGATTATTTGGCCACCCAACCTGTGTGTACATACACCACTATAACAACCTCAGATCACCACATGTACATACATGGTAATATAAGCTACATATGACAGACATTGATGGTGAGAAGGAACAAACTGGACCCTGATACATCATAGTCCATAAAACAGAACAAGTCACTACTCTGAGTCTAGTCTATCCAGTCACTACAATCTGTCTGTCTGCAACCCCTTGCCACTATGACTTGATGCCAGCCTGCTTGGCAGAAACTTTGTAAGCTGATCAGCTAAGCAAGGAGCACCCATTTGAGAGTGTCCAAGCTCATCAACCCACTAGAATGAAAAAAAACAGATGACAAAAATCTATCATCCTCTGTAATCTTTCTTCAAAGAAATAAAAAAAAATAATTTAATTATGTTAGGATCAAGAGATCTTCTTAATCTCACTATATCTAAAAAAGAAAGAAAGAAAAAAAAAAAAAGGTCAAGGGAAATAAGCTACGGAACAAACAAGAAGGGGAGACAAATAAGAGCCAACTTTCACAAAACACACACACACAACCACAAACAAACAAACACAGAGAGACAGACAAAAGTAAGTGCGCTGAGGAAAACAAAAGCCGACAAGGAAAGATACATATATGTATATCAGATGGATGATGATAAACCATATCAGTGTGTTGAGAGTCTAGAGAGATAAAGAGAACAACACGTCTGGAAAGATGGAGACAAAAAAAAAAAACGACGATGACGACTAAGAGTAGCATGATATTACTGGAGGAGATTGGATCTGCCTACCAAGATGTAAAAAAGAGGGAGAGTCTTACAAGACACAAGAGTATATAATGAGGGAGAGAGAAAAGACAAAAAGAATGATGGAGGAGGAGTCTAATTCTCGACGACGCTCAAGACCTTCTTGTTCGAATGATTATTCCTAGCCGACCTCCGGACAGGAAGCAGATGATGATCGTGGGAACGAGGAGGCTGCTGCTGATTGAGGTCGATCTGATCTTTGCTTCTGTCGCCCGAGTCTGTTGAATGATGATGCCGATGGTGATGGTTAGGAGATCTGTTCTGGTTCGTGGGCCGATGGCTGGTCGTCCGTTTGCGCGGCTGGGAAGATGCGCCGTCGCCGATCGCGGGGGCTTTGGAGGCCAGACTGGGCGACTGGGACGGGTGCTCGAAACGGACATGGTCCTCGGGCCGGATATTCAGATCATCCTCCGCCTCGTCACCTCTGGCTTCTTGGCCGACCGAGTGCGAGCCCGACCGGGCCCGGCCATTCCCCTTCTTCGCTCGCCCCGACTTCGAGCGCATCGAGTTCGAGCGCGACTTGGATGTCTTCTTGCTCTTCGAGCCGCCCGGTTGTTGGCCACCGCTCTGGACTCGCCCTTCCTCTTCTTCTCTGTCGATTTCCCCATTCACTGTCACTTCAGAATATCTCCTCATCTCATCCTCATCGCCATCATTGTGCCCCAGTAGTCTGACCGGTCCTGACCTTGAGCTTTCTCTTAGCTTTTGTTCGAGAGTTGCAATCAATTGTGATTGTAAGGATATCTGTTTCTCATGCTCTTTTCTTTCCTGCTCGACTTCTGCTCTCATCCGGTCATTCGAAGTTTCCGCTTCTCTTAGTTTGCTTTCTAGTGCGCTGATCATTTCTTGCTGATTCTTCAGTTCTAATTCTAGCTTTTCAACCTACAGGTATATCGGAAATTAGCTCCCAGCACTTCCCTTGCCAGCCACGCTGACCCGCTGTGATTATAACCCCAAGAAAATTCACTGACCTTCTCACTACTGGTTTTTCCGAGTTTCTCCCGCTCATTCTCCAAACCACAATTGGCTTGCTGAAGTGATTCGTATCGATCCAAATCAAAAGGAATGAGTATTGGAGTAAATGAAGTTCAAATCTTTGAAAAAAATCATCATAAAAGAGGTGGATGGACATACCAATTTCGGAGATGAGTTTCCGGGCGGATCCCGTTCCTCCAATGTCCGCTGGAGCTCGAGAACCTGTTCTTCTAGCGTAGAAACTTCGGCTCTCAGTTCGGAAATCTTCCCGCCAGAAAAAGTTAAGCTGTAATCAGTGAGATGAAAAAAAAAATCATGAAGAAAAAAGAAAGCCTAGATAGTAGTACTGACTTCTCCGATGTGCGTGTCTTCAGCTTCGGCAAGAGTGGCTTCGAGCTTGGCGACCGTCAAATTCAACTCGTTAATCTTCTCAGATTTTTCGACACTATCTAAATCTTGAGCCGGTGGGGGATTCTTGCTGATAGATTCCTGTATATAAAAGTCGTTTACATGTAGTTGCAAGTCCATTAGAAACCCAAGCAGGATACCTATTAAACAAAACAGGGAGAAAAACTGACATCACCGGGATGCTCATCAAAAAACAACTCCTTCCACCCCACTCGTTTAGTAGGAGTGTCAAGAACAGGTCCTGTAGCAGCTTCAGAGAGTCTGGAGGGCCGCTTAGTCCCAACAGACTTTTTGCGGATCAACCCAGTCGTTGTCGCAGGACCTCCCGGATGTTGATTATTCGTATGGAGCTCTAGCGTGTTCGCTGTCGCGTATGATGAGCGTGGGGAGCCTGTTAAGATTAACCGTTTCAGATGATCATGCTGTTCTTTTAATGGTGTCCGAAGAGTTTGTAATTCAGCCAATTTAGATTCATACTACAAAGAAGTAACAAAGGAATTTCCAGAAAAAAAAAGGTATGAATATTTGAATGAATATCGGTGAGTTTTTGTTTGGTTGTTTGAGTGTCTTCAGGAAGAGGAGATTGAGGTGACGAGAAGCTTACGTCATCGCAAATCTTCTCAGCCCCATCGGCCCGTTCGATGGCTTCATCCCGTTCTCTTTCGAGAGCTTCGGTATAATCGGCATTAGTCATTAGAGCGGCCTCAAGCTCGAGCACTTTAGATTCTAGGGCTTCTAAGAGGGTCGCTCGATCGACCACCTGACCCATCTCGGCCCTCGTCTCGACCTTCTTAGCCCCCGCTGCAAACCGCAAGGTACTCAACGTCTCTATCTCGCAGTCCGGATCGGGTGAGATGGTACATAGGAAGGCGACCTTGGCGTTGCCTGATAAGGAGGTTTGTAGTAGCCGAGTCAGCTGTGAGTTTCGGTAAGGCACATGTAACAATCGTTGTTTGGTGCTGGATTGGTTGGATGAGGATGTACTGGTTCCTAACTCGGTGAGACTGGAGACGACACTCTGTAATGCTAGTAAGGACTTCTTGATGTATGAGGCTTCTTTATTCCGGGCTTCGTTATCAGTCAGCTTCTCGGAACCTGCAAGATCAACCAAATTCTGCACGACGTCCGTGTTTTACTGATTTGAGTGAGAGAAGCTGCGAGTGTGAGGATCTGAGGAATGGAGAGTGGAAGAGACGTACGAGTTGACTGATACGGATACTCCCGTCGGGAACATGGCCACTCGATTTGGAGGAAGCAGTTGATGATTTGAATCTGGTCACGCTTGGAGTGATTGGCATTTTTCCGATCCCAGTACCCAGGAAGACCTCGCAGGTTGAGGGGGAAGGCTGAGAGGGGCTGGTTACTGAGGGAGGGTCGAGTGGGTTGAGATCTGAACGAAGTTGGGTACGAGAGCTCTGACGGGTGACCTGGCGCATGGTGGAGGAGGTGATTGGGAAGGTGGCGGGTCCGTTGACGGGTCTAGATTCGAGGGTTAATGAGAAGATGGTATGAGATCGTGAGCTGTGTAGGTTCCACTCGGTTCTCTCGACCCGTCTTCTGGATTCCCCGCTGAGTAGGAGCCTCATGACATCCTCTGGGTCGGCACATGGGGTTGAAACTAGTGGTCTGACGAAGATCCTTCCCTGTCTGTCCTCATGAACTTTGGGGATGTTTTGATGGGCTGAGCCGTTTGAGGCCAGAGGGGGAGGCCGGTCGGTTGCGAGCAGATCACGAAGTTGTTCGTTATAGATCTCTAGATAGGATGCTCTGACGACGTATTCGCGATCTTGATCCTGTGAGAGATGGATAGATCAAGTTATTAGCTGTTACTATCTAGAGTTGGTAGGAGGAAAGGGATGAGGAAGGACCTGTTCGACCAGATCGAAGACGTCTTCGATCGCTCTCTGCATGATTCCATCCTCCTTCTCCGATCCGATCATGCTGTAACTCTTGCCACTACCGGTGGCCCCGTAGGCGAACAGGGTAGAGTTATAACCAGCAACAGCATCCTGGATCATCGAGGCGATATGGGATTGATAGATCTCGGCGGTGGAGGTGGAAGGCGGATGGACGCCGTCTGTATTAGACAGATTTCGATCAGTATATCAGATGCTTTTTGTTTTGGTTTTTGGTTTTGATGATTGACATACCAAATGTGAACCAGCTCCCGCCGGCATGGATGGAAGCATTCTCAGGTTGGAGTGTGTATGGACATGAAGGGGGCGAGTGTTCGCTTGAGTAGAGACGGGTCTGGCGAGGAACGTAGTGTGGTTCGGATGCGGATGAGTTGAGTGGCTGGACTATCTGGAGTGGAGGACGGAGGCTTTGGATGATAGGGTCAGTTGAGCGGAGTCGTTCAGCAATCGCAGTAAGCACTCACCGGATGATTGCCTTGACATTCTCTGGATCGGCCATCTTGTTGATGAGGATATCTTTTCGAGAAAAAGTGGTTGTATGTATTTGGAAGTGGGTGTTGATGGGCGAGTGCAGGTTGGGGTTGTGTCCGATGAAGCTTTGATCCCTCTCCTCTTCTAATGTACACATCTACCATCTGAATTTGAAAAATTAAAATAAAAAAAGGGGGGATTCATCTCACATTCTGCGGATCAACAACCCAAAAAAAGAGATTGAACAATCCCACAGAATCAACCACAAGACAGATGACTGTGACTACCAACACGGGTATTTTTTAGCCAGCAAATGAAAACTGTATGAATTTATAAAACCTTGTTGTGAGCACCTGATTCAAAGATCATATCACTCTTTCTGAGCGACTTTTCCTGCTGTTGGAAAAAAAAGCAAATGTGATCCGCGAATAGGGCATCTCATCTACACATCCTGGCACAAATCCTCGGATCACAAATGAAACCATAGTTTCAGAAAGAATTGTCCAAAGTTGTACCCAGTGACACACATAGATCCAAATAAGCAAGTAAGACTGAGAGTAATATATAACTTATCATGGCATTGGTACTACTATAAAAATCCAGGAGACTTTACTTGATGCTTTCTAAAAACAATACGCTAACAACATTAACATGGGGGAGCCTGAACAAGCGCAACTAAAATCTGCTGCCAGTGTCCCGTACAAGTAAGACGGCTTAACAGGAATCACTGCCCAACAAACGATATCTGACGAAGATCTTGGAGGAAAGAGAACAAAAGAAATAACGACGAGGAGTACAGTACTGGGGTAACAAGATAGAGGAACCTATAGAATCAAGAAGAAGAAGAAGCCCTCATCGCTTGGCGTAGATGTGAGTGAGATAATGAGAGCCTAGGGCGATGATGATCACATTGGAGCATATGAAACCGATCAGGATCCCCAAGTCTCGGTACCGATTCCCGAAATCGAGCTCGAGGCCGGCCATGACTGTGTGTAGACCGATGGGCTCTCAGTTTGGCACGAAAGGGTGATGAGAAATCCAAGGCATACACATACATTCATCACCGACACGGTATTGGCAGTACTGGCAGCCTGAGGTGGCATTGGGATCAAGCAGATACCCCCCTGAGCGTTGGATGAATGCACCTGCCCACTGAACACAACTCTGTCCACTCGGAGGTTGGAAGACGGCACTGAAGGAGAGTTGATGATGGATTCAATAATACACTTGGATAGACCAGCTTATCAATCTCAACTCAACTATTCTTCTGCTGAACAAGTCACTTCCAATCCGTGCATCTCATTGGCAATCAAGCCTGATACGACCCGAGTAAGAGGATTCAAGTCGTACATCCCTGGGTATAAAACTCAGACTTTATTAATTGTAATCCAATTGAATGGAATCATAATACATTGAGAGACCAATCGACTTACATTTCCTCCAGAATTTCGGAATATCCGGCTTCGGGACAGTCACTCCACAGAACAGAGAAAAGATCACAACAAAAAACGGGTTGGCTTTGACGGCAATAAAAAGACTTGGGGAAACCGCGGCAACTGCTTGTCCACCTGTTACCGCAAAGAGCTCGACAACGATGACCACTATTGTAGAGGTTTCGAAACAGATTCATCAATCTCAGCCAGTCAGAACAAAGGCAGGGGGAAAAAAAGAAACTTACTCAAGAACGCATAGCCCGCACGAGAACTATCGAGTTGGAAACTTGGCAAGAAGTACCAAATCAAAAAGAATCCAACCGAGCAAGCCAGTGAATATGGCATCTCCGCGATTGTTTGAGAGATTCCAAAAGCCACTGGAGAATACATCTTCGCCGACGATTCTCTTATATAAATCTGGCGAGCAAAGATGAAAACTGGTTCGACTTGGGCCATAATCTGCCCAAACCAGAGACATCGTCAACTCTGAGAGGATCTGCCTAATCGAGAGCCATATACAAGTCACTCTTACCAAGGGAAGCAGCACAACCAATTCAAACATCGCGAAAATACGGTATTGGATTCCAATCACCGTAGAAGGAAGGTTCAGGTAAGTCAACCCCGTGATCAGGGCCACTGCGAGATGGTTGAAGACACGGGTGACTTCGTAATTGGCATTGCGGAAGAAACTCAAGTTGGTCCGATTGATAACCAGCTTGAGTTGATAACTGAAAGGTGTTGCGTCTGTCGAATGAGAAGCGTCAGCCTCAAGAAGTTCTGCAACACACAATCCACACAGACTAACATGTCAGTTCCTTAGCCTCATCATGGTTGTGCGGGTTCACTTTCAAGGCTTCCTCCTTGAAGCGTATGATTTGTTGTTTGTTCTCTTCGTGTTCGGGAGACTCCAACCACCGATCAGCCCAATCCTTACTGCCTCCCATCGGTGAGGAGTTGCCAGCGCCGATGGCTTCGAGCATGAATTCTGCGGGATTGGCATCATCCGGACACACCGCTCCGTTGCGTGCAAAGTACGAGCAAATGACCTTCGAATCTTGGCCGATGTCGCCAAAATAAACGCACCGACCACCTTTCTTCAACAGCAGTAAACGGTCAAAGTTCTCGAATAGCAGAGCATTGGGCTGATGAATTGTGCACCTATAGTGGACATATTAAAAAAAATCTTGAGCGCGCGCTTTATGGCAGCCGTACAGGTTCGCGCGACTTACAAGATGGCCTGTCCGGCACTGGCGAGCTTTCGCAAAAACCTCACAATGTTATAGGCGCTTTGACCATCCAGTCCAGACGTCGGCTCTGTAGAAGAAAGATCGGCATGTCATGAGCTAGTTTGAAGCTAGTATGTATCGAGCGAGAATAAAGAGTAGGAGTTACCATCAAGAAACAAGAGTAACTCAGGACGGGCTGCAAGCTCCACGCCAATCGTCAGGCGTTTGCGGGCCTCAACTCCCAGGCCAAATCCGGGGAACCCAATCATCGCTGCCAAAGACAAGTGCACCCAGTCAGCACCAACTTCAAAACCCATGGCAAATGCCAATCCGACGAACCGTCTGCTAGGTCTTCCAGCTCGAGAAGCTGGATCACTTCCTCAACGTAAGCATTCTTCTCGTCGACAGAGACATCGTATGGCTGGCGCAAGTGAGCTGAGAATCGCATGGCCTCTCGAACTGTAGCCGTCCATTCATGCACGTCTTGTTGCTCGCAATAAGCCGTTCCACGCTGAAACGCCGCACCAGGCTTTCTTCCACCGATGCATATGTCTCCAGATACGACACCCTAGCGAACGTCTGTGTCAGCATTCATGTTGAAAATGGTCGAGCAAGACATGATATACTGACAATTGTTTTTCGATTGGCCAAGACATCCAAAAGTGTTGTTTTTCCGGCTCCCGAAGAGCCCATAAGAGCCGTGAGTGTACCAGGCTTAACATAGCCATAGATATCGTTCAACAAGCGCCGTTGACCTCCAGGTACCGGCACGTCGTATGAGAGCGCCTCCCAGGTAAAGGGTAGACGCTTTTCACTGCCACCAGAGACTTTCAGCGTTTTCTTGCCCGACCTGGATTCGGCTTTCTCGGCTTGCAGTTTCTCGTTGAGCGCCTTGCGCTCCGCATTCTCTTTGGCAAACACATTCACAGACGGAGCCCCGGAGCCAAGCGCGAGGTTCTCGACCGCTATGAAAACCATGGCCAAGAATAGTACACAGAATGCGCACTTGAGTCGAAAAAAAAAAGAATCCAATCAGTTACTGCAGTATGCTGTTTGCTACTAGATTTGTGTACTCACGACGATCGCAAAGTCTCTCCAGATATTCCCGTAATGAAATCCAAGAGCAGCTTCCATATAATCCACGCCTCGGACGATTTCTGATCCAGGGCGCGCTCCGATCACCGTACAAACTTGATTGGAGCCCAAAACACTTGGATAGCCATCTCCGCGGGGCACGATGGACGCTCCAGAGCAAGTGCTAAGAAGCGCGTTTGTGTTTTCAGCAGACGATCAGGGGGATTTGTAGGATAGCGAGCCGGACTCACAAATCGACCCGCCCAAATTCATTGGCCATCAGGGCCGCGAAGGCATAATTTGCCGGATTGATGTGATAGATCCATCGCAACCAGTTTGGCATGTTACTACCCAATTAATCGCCTCGGTCAGGGAATCGCGCAGGTCAGCTTTACCGGAAAGTGATAGTAACATACCTTTTGCTTATCATGTAACCCGAGTAGGTCGAAATGAGAATCGTCATCGTTGCCGCCAGACGTGATGCTGTGTCAAAATCAAAAGAGATGGCACCGAGGAACCTGTAAAAGGCGCCCATGCAGTAGTAACCCATGTACACAACAATCACGTATGTGAAGAATGCACCGGCGTCTCGCACAAGGTGCGGCATCAAGTAGGTCTGGTTCAGGAAGCATCCACTTGAGTTAGGACATCACTGTGAAAGGGTGTGTCTGGTGACTCTGAAGCAGACAACTCACTATCAACGAGAAAACGAAAACTTTCGGGAAGGTAAACGGAATTTCCGCGATCGCACCAGCCATTGCAAGCGCTCCCGGGCGATAAAAGCAGAAAGATGTTTGCCTCCACATAATCGGTCTTCCGAGCATTTGCTTGGGTAGTTCGGTGAACGCTGGAATTACGATCCAGGTTGAGTGAAGCAACTTGGAAAACAAAAATAAATAGATTAAGATGTACATACCAAGAAAGACATTCATTAAAAGTCCCAAAAAGATCGTTCCTCCACGCGTAAAGATTCCGGCCGTAGTTGTGGGTAAATTCAAGAAGACCGTCCCTTGCACAATGCCGAGGACAATGACAGTTGCCATGTCGAAGACTAATGATTGTCGGTCTTGCCAGGTAAGTTGCATGGAGCGGATAATGAGTGCCCTGAGTTGAGCAAAAATTGAAACCGTGTATGGGGACTGCAATATTGAACAAAGATCAGACGTTGGCGTTGAGATGAGAGACATGGAAGAATATTTATTTAATGCGGGACAGGTAACGGAATTGGACTGACCTTTGGGTTGACTCCCTTGCCCTGGTCAACCTTGACGGCCTCCATGAAGTCGCGCTGAAATCGCTGCTCTTGGATTAGAAATTTGTTATAATCGATGCGCTCTTGCTCCATTGTTTGGTACGTGCTGCTGTTGAGGTACGCCTGCTCCATCTCCTCGGGCGTTTTGGGCACCCGAGTCACATCGATGTCATCCTGAAACTGCCGTTCGTTTTCGTCCGTACATCCGGTCAGATAATCAGCCGTGGTCTGGCGAGGCAAGTTCTTGTAGCCCAGTGAGACCATGTAGTCGCGTGCTCCTTTGGTCGGACCAAAGTAAACACAACGACCTTCGTTGAGTAACAATATTTTGTCGAATTGATCGTAGATTCCTTCGCCCGCTTGGTATAGGGTCACAAACATGGTGGTTTGGAAAATGTTGGTCATAATGCGTAGAGATTTGGCATATGAGAGGGCAGTCGAGGCATCGAGACCTCGAGTCGAGTTATCCCAGGAGAGAACACAAGCACGCGTCGCCATCATCTCTGCAATCGATACTCGTTTCCTCTCACCACCAGAGACACCTCGGACGTGCGCATCACCAACCACTGAAACATCGGAATACTTCAGGACCACCGCTGATTGTAATGGGTTCGAAAAAAAAAAATCAAAATGAAAAGGAGCTCACAAGTATTTTTGGTGTGGCTGATGCCCAACATTTTCAAGAGAACATCCAGAACTTGGTCAGCAAACTGCGCTCGGGTCACCGATGGAAGGAGTTTGCCGGGGGTTTTGGTTCGCAGGGCAAACTTCAAAGTTTGGTAAACCGTCAACGTGGGATGATGAATGTCGTCCTGCAGAAGAATGGTGACCAGATCAGATGGAGGTTCAAAGCATCAGACACGTCCAAAAGAAAATAGACTTACCTCAGGATTGTACACCACTCTATAATCAAGGGAATCGAGGGAAAGCGAATATCACGGGAGTCAGCGCGGATAAAGAATCACGAGAGGAAAATGTTACTTACTCCCCCTTATACCGTTTAGTCATGACATCGGCAGGAATGCCGCCGTAGGTTACATTCCCATCGACACTTTTGAAGCCGACTCGTTGATTGGCGATCACTTTCAAGAAGGTCGTGCAACCACTATTAGGACGGCCGAGGACCATGCACATCTCGCCGGACTTGACGCATCCACTCATCGGGTGGAGGATTGTCTTTGGAGGGGGCATGAGCATGCGCCGGATGACGGGCATCGCTGGGGCCAAGATTAAATTTCTTAGGGCATCGAAGAAGGTGATGATCGGTAGCTTTATACCACCATTACCAACCACGCTTAGATTTTCGTAGATAACACCCAGGTGTTTGGGACGCATGCCATTCTCATCTCTCGACTGGGCATTGCCGCGCTGTTCATAGTACAAGGGGGAGAAAAAAAGAGTAAGTACTGGTGAGATAAAAATAATAGTAATTTTAAACTTGCCAAGTATGCTAAAAGATCAAAGGTGGCATCCGGATCTTGCTTTTCAGCGTCTGTCTTTCCCTCTTGGGCCAAATGTAACGACCTGGTGAAGATTATCAGGGCAGAAGACTGTCAGAATCATCCATGTAGATTACCGTGGAGGGAGAGAAAATATGTATGGATTTACGAAGCCTCAGTCAGCTGGCGACGAAGCTCAGCAAAGGTGCGTTCGGCTTGCTCAACGTCGACTTCATCTTCATTCAAGATTTCCTTCAAAGACTCGTGGCTTCTTTTCCTTTCGTCGTCGCCTTGGATTTGCTTCTTCGTTTCGTCACTCGCGCTCGATTGGGGAGGAATGGTCCCGCCCAGGGCAGGTATTATTGACAGATCGGGAGCCGAAGAAGACGCCATAGGTCGTGCGTGCGTCTCAAGCTTGGCAAGAAGGGAGGGAAGTGAGGTCACACCAATAGTCTTTCGATGTTACAGGGAAAAAGAACTCTTATGGGATCTCTGACTTATTATACTTTTTGAGACCCACTGGACTAGTTGAGAAGGTTAGGCGATAGCAGCTGGAAGGGTGGATATGCAGCCGGTACAAAGGCGGCTTGAAATACTCAAGGCTCAGAGGGGTTCATGAGCTCATCTCGATCCAGCAGCACGATAGGAGTACTGGAATTAAGCGATCCAGTCCGCCGAGCCTATGTTAGAATCTATAGGTCTACATGGACGGAGTATGAAGAAAAAAGTCGTACAAACCAGATCAACGACGTCTGTCTCGGCCAGCGCGGAATCACATTCATAATACAATTCACAGACGTTCCCTTCCACCATTTCGACATTGGACTCAAAGCAACATGGAGCTGGAAAGTACACGCTAATCAACATTGTCGACATTGGCGACCGAGCAGGACTTTGGCCCCGAAGAGATCCGAAGCTGCAATAATTCTCGTGTATTCACATCTATGTAATAAGTACATATACACATGTAGCTGGGAGCTCGGAAGGATTGGAGGATGGGCTACCGGCAGAACGGGCGGAACAATTTGTGGCATTTTCGGAAAGGCTTTAAACATCACCAATGAGCAAAGCACACTGCTTGTGAGCTTGTATTTTATGTACACAGGGTGTTATTTGTGTAGCACATTGCTTTTGTGGATCGATGGAAACATTACGTGTTATCTGTGTTATCTTGAATATTGCTGCCGAGGCTGTGCTGCCGGGCGGAATCGGCTGCCGGCTCCAGTCTGCAGCCGGACGAGGAAGAGATGAAGGTCCGACTCTGGCTTGAAAGTGACTGCCGATGCGCCACGCGGTGCGCTCAACTCATAACTGTCTCCTTGGCGTCTACATACGCCGCAAGACAACGCCGAAGGCTGGCGATGTAAAAGGAACTCGTGTTCGGAGCGCCTGGCAGAGTTGCGCGGTGTTCCCTTGGAACCAAATGGATCGTCGGGGCGGCTGGACGGTCATGGTTTAGAATTGTTCCATCCCCGATGAGCATCTGGAAAGCATAGTATTTATGTGCGGTCCCAGGATGCGGACCGTCCAGTTCCGCTGTCCGGCTCGGACGGATGGCCGAATACATAATCGGACGGATAAAAATTAACACGGCCCGGAATACCAAGCCCGAGCAGGCGGTGACTGCGCAGAGACGGCCAAGAATCAAACAAGGCTGTTAACATAGTCGAAAACAACTCCAGCAGAGAAAAGCATAAGCCAACTCCAGCTCTTGCCACTCATACATCAACTGTCTGCGAGTAGTTCTAAACACTTTGGAATCTGATGTGTTGTACCATGGCAACATTAGTCCGAACCAATGTTTCATATAGCACTTGAAAATCAACCTTTGAGAAGCAAGTAGATTTATGGGCTCTTGGCATACACACCTGAACATGAAGGAACAAGCTTTGACCCATATCAAGAGCTCACAATCAGGTGTACCCAATCTACTAGGTACAAGTTGCATCTTGTATTTCTTTGAAAAAGAACAAACACATGATGAGTAATCGTTTAATAAACTCATGAAATGTGTACATCCATTGATGATCGACAAAAATCCAATTCGATCCACACAGATTGAGAATTCTTTTGAAGAAATCCAGGGGTTAATTTCCAACCAACTAAAAGTGAATTGATTTCATCATTTCATTTTTTTTTATGTTAGACTAACGAAGAGACCACAAGCCCAACAAGAGAAGATCAATTCAAGGCAGGATGGGTTGTAGTTGCTATTGATGACAAGGATCTAGAAGTCGATAAAACCGAAGAGGAAGAGGCGGAAGAAGGGGATGGAAAGGATGGTGCAGAGGATGAAGATAAAGAGAATCCGAGGCGATGACAGATCTGGTTGATCGTCACTCGGATCAGGAATTGCTCATGGCCTAAGATCCGGACCCTCTGTTTATTTGTCAATCATAATAAATACATTTTTTCAATGTTTTTTTTTTTTTTTGAAAAAAGTGTTAAGTCAGAATGATGATCTTCAAAAAGAAAGTTGGGATCGGAATTGTGGGTAGTAATTGAGGAATGTACCTTCAAGAATTTCTCTAAATCGATCTTCGATCCATCCAGCGAATTATTCAACGCTTTCGAGAGATGATAGACCAGATCCTCGATCACTTTATCATTAATGATCAATTCCCAGAGTCTTTCGAGGGAGATTAGAGAAATAGAAGATTGGGATCCAAAGTCAGTCCGATAAGGAGAAGACAAAAACACAGGGAATCGAGTAGAAGAGAGAAAGAGGGGCCAACTGAACTGATTGTAGAGGACCGTAGTCGAACAGACCAATTCATCCACCTCGACGATCTTGCGATGATGAGTGAGCTCGATGAATCTCGTGTTGAGTTGTTCGACCAGATCCCGATACCGATTGCCTACGTTAACACAGACATCGTTGACGGCCTCGAGACGGGCGATCTCGTCGAGGATCGCCGGCTCGCCCTTGAGTAGGTCGGTCTCGAGGATCTCGAGCTGGCGTTGTTCGGCCTGTAGACTTGCCTTAAACCGCTCGCTCTCCGCCCTCAACTTCGCATGTACCGCTCCCCGTAAGGAGAGTAATCCTGGATTCGGCGGCCGTGGGGGTGGAGGCACGTTACTCGGCGATCTTCCGTTCATCTGGGGCGATTCATCATCCAGGGGATCATCGTCCAATAGGTTTTGGTTTGGCTTGGTTGAGGATGTGATGGCTAGTGAGTCGAGTTGTTGTTCTAGAGGCCTACTGATGATCGTGTTTTGAGCAGAAGACGGGTGATGGTTGGGAGGATTACTGAAGGCAGACATTGATCGCCTGCACTCCTGTAATTGATGGTCAAAGTTGTGAGGAGGTGACTGGTTAGGATGAGATGTAACTGGTTGAGTGGCTGAGACAGTTCTAGAGTGTGAGACCGAGCTGAGGGGTTGAATGAATTGAATCGAATTTGAATTAGGTCTTAGATGGAGTGGCGGAGTAGAGGAGGAGGGTGTGAGAGATTGAGAGGATTGAGAGTAAAGTGGGGGTGGTAGTGGGGGTCGAATGGGTGGAGTAGGACGTGATTGAGGGTCAGGATGGGCGAGTGAGGAGTTGGTTGAGAGAGATCGAGCGAGTTGAGGGGGTAAGGGAGGTCGAGGAGGTTGTTGTTGTTGTTGCTGTTGTTGTGATGAAGTTGAAGTGATTTGAGAGGTGGGTGGTTGAGAGCTATAGGCGGGTGCAGGTGGTTTGGGTTTTGAGTAGAGTGGTGGTTCACGCGAGAAGACGTCTTGGAGGAATTCGAGTAGTTCTTTGAGAGAGCAGGCCTGGATAACTTGAACCGAGTGGTGGGTGAGTGCTTGATCTCAGTGAGCGATGGATCGATGGATGATCGACTGACCTCTGGTTTTGATTGCCATGAGTTGAAGTAGCCCGCAATACATTTCCCACCTGGTTCGACGTGAGTGCCTTTCCTGATGATCATCTCGTTGGTTGGGGTGAGGTAGATGATCGGTGGTTCGGTTGGAAATTCGAAGGGTAGCCAGATTGCGATTGGGATGTTATAGCTCAGTGCGCGATAGTGTACTGGGATCGTCCCAGTGAGAGATACGAGTAGGGCAGTGCGGCCGTCATCGAAGGCTATTATAATTTCTTGAGTTAGTTCTTTTGTGTGTGTGTGTTTTGACTCAGATGATACACTTAACTGAATGATTCTGTCTTTGGTGATAGGCTTGGATAGTGTTCTAGTGTTGATTGGATCTGATTGAGTGCCTGCTCTCGAGTGGGATACTAGAAAGTGAGAAGTATCAGCATTCTATTATTTTTTTGGGGGTGTTTTATGGGTTACTTAACTGGTAGCAAGACTTGAGTGAGCCATCTCTTGACTGATTCTCGGTTGGCTGGCATGCTGTCGTGGTTGGTTGAGGTTGAGGTTGAGAGTGAGTGTGAAGTGCTGTGATCGGCTGCAGTGGATGTCCTGATATCATCGATCGGGGGCACCACTACCCGACCACTACATACCCCCGGGGCAATAGGGGACTCCGACTATGTAACTCAACTCAACTCAACAAAGAGAGAACAATTATCAACTCAACAACCAAAATCAAACCAGAACGATGACTCACCACTATTCCATCGAATTCGGCACACCGATCTACTGTTGCGCATTCATCGACTCACGAAAAATCATACTCGGAGCAGGTGGCGGGACAACGAAATCGGGGATCACCAACAAACTAACTATCATCCAACTCGACCCTCCGAACAAATCATCCAATGTCACCACTGAATTCAACTTGGAGAAGGGTGAAGATGTACCGATGAGCATGGAATTCGATAGAAGCGTAAGTAACAAACATTCCATCTTCCCGATTTATTTCCTCAATAATACTTACCCGACGATCGTGGAAAAAATTAGAACAAACAACTCATTTGTGGGATCAATGCACCCCTGTTAAGCTCAAGTCCTGAGAAGAATCTGCATCTACGTACTTTTTCATTGGAGAAAAATCAACAGTAGGTCATCCATCTCAACCATTTCATTCCCACCTCACTTGAAATACGCCATACTCATTTCTCTCACTATCTGTGGCCGCCTACTTCAGATTAAAATCAAAAACGGCGCAGAGGGTTCTAACCTACGAATCAGAGGATAACTATCAGGTTGGCCAGGAGAATCCGATCAGAAATCTATACAACTCAACCGACAACTAATTCATCTTCACACAGAGAATCACCTGTTTGTCTGACCAAGCTCCTAAACTACTAGCCGTCGGTGGGACAAACAATCAACTCGATCTGCTCAATTATCCAAGTCTCAGACCGGCCTTTAACACGATTTGGTGTACCGAAAAGGAAGACCAAAAGTCACAACTCTTGGCGGTTGACTTCCATCCAGACGGATCACAAGTGAGTCCTCACTGCAATGACCAAACCCAAATCACTGAAATTGACTCTGGAGATCTCTATCTCATCAAGTTCTTAGTCGGATCCAGTCGACACGTCAAACTCTTCTCAACAAAACGAAAGCTCTCGAAAAAAGGGTCCAAGAAGATCTTCCCTCCCGATCTCATACGCCAATTCGAACCACCATCAACGAGTGCCAATCAAAACACCTCCTTTAGAAATGTCATGTAAGCTGAATAGCAACCACCACCACCACAACAACAGGCGACATAATCGTGTTAATTCTTTTTCCTTCTTCCACGTGGCTCTCTTGAGGAATGTATAGGTATGGAAGAGGCATCAACTCAAAGACAGTTTATACGATCGTCAACCACTTACCCAATAAAGGAGATTATGGCCGAAAGTCGAACTCGATCTGGCCTCGGTCCGACCAACGGAAGGCGGTACTGATCTCATGGAACCTAGACGATGGACAGCAACGGCGATCGAAGATGATCAGCAATAAGCCGGTGACCTCGTTCGATATCAGTTCCTCGGGCAAGCTCCTGGCGTTTTCTAGTAGTGATCTGAGCATCGGGATCTTGGATGCTTCTTCCTTACGGGTCAGTCTTTTTCTTTCACCATTCTCTTTAGCCCAAAGTCGCGCTTCTTACGTGTTAGCCGTATTTTTACTTCTCTGTTCTGTCGTGTCACAGTCATTATTGTCGATCCTACATGCACATGAGTTCCCAGTAACAAGTATTAAGTTTTCACCAGATGAAGAGAGAGTGGTCAGTTGTTCGGCTGATATGACCATCAGGGTGATCGAATTGGATAAAAGCATTCTAGGTCAGCTCTCTTTCAATTCATGTTCTTGACATTCTTTTCAGAACAAAAATCTGACTGCTATCTCTTATGTCACATTACATTCTGAACCAGATCGGAGTTCTAAGCAGCTCTTCATCTTGATCAGTCTCATAATCCTTCTCATCGGGTTCTTGATCAAGTTCTTGAATTGATCTTCTTCAACCACCGATATGCTCCTTATTTATTTAATCCATAGAAATTCAAGCAAAAACAGGTTTAAGCTTATTGACGTCTCATCTCTTGATCAAGATGTTGATTCCTGACAACAAACTTCAATATACCGTAATCTATAAAGCTTCTTTTTTTGGTAGGATCAATCTTATAATATATATATATATATATATATATATATATATATTTTCTTCGTTGTGTGTGTGACATACGCAGCTTGTCTTCAACAAATCTATTTACTTTTGTCGTAGAATGGTCCTCGGCCTTTATTTTAGCGTGTGGGATTGCTGGAGCCGAGATTGAGTCTTGGGTTTATAGATTGGGATCATGAGCTTTCAGTGTTCAAGCTTCTTTGACCTCTTCATATACACACCAATTCGACTGGGAGTGGGTGGGAGTGGGGCTGAAGTGGACAGTAGAACAAACAGCTGCACTCTCAAAGCATATGGCAAAAAGATTCACCCCATTTTGTCCAAACATGTATTGAATTAATGATACAGCTTGACTGGCGAAAGGCTAGTATACATCTTGAGGTGAGTCGAGGAGCACTAACTGTCTCCTGTTCTTGAGTCTCTGCGATGGGAAATGATTATGAGCTTGTTGGTTGATGAAGAGGTGTTATTTGCGGAGAGATGAGTGCCTGAAAATGGTTAATAGGAGAGCAGGATGGATCTGCACTGCGGAATCATACGATTTCACTGTCTGATCAACCCCAGCGGGTCGCAAAGAAAAAAAAAAAAAAGAAAGCAGAAACCAACCAAGAACCAAACTAATTAACTACTCACGAAAGAGATCGATCGACAAGACATACATACATCAACAGGAGAGAGACCGCTCGACTGAGATTGAATGGTTCAACTTCAAAAACTAGTCAGACTACTCAGAGCACCACCAGTAGTCCATCGAAGACTGATAACCACCTCCACCACCAGACCAAACTTGCAAATCAATAGAGCTCGACTCAGACCTTACTCAAGCTCAGCAAACACCCTCTACTCAAAAAACCAAACCAAGAAACATATCATGAGCAGCCATCAGTTGGCAGAGGACGAGATCCCATCATCATATGGAAACTTCGATCGGATCATCGAGCCTTTCAATCTAGACGCAGCTCCCATCCAAGTCGCAAAGTGGAAGAGTAGAGAGACCGGGCTCAGTGTGGTTTGGGTGGATGTCGAAGGTATGTGAATGAAAGAGAAAGAGAAAGAGAAAGAGAAAGAGCGGATGAAAAAAGTGACCTTTGCTTTTGCTTTGTCTGCATAGGTCCACTCGTCAATGGATATTTCACTGGTAAACTACATCACCCATTTGACTAAGATTTCTTTAAACAAGATCTTTCTCACCATATTTTAATTTTACAGTTGCAACCGAAATCTTTAACGATTCTGGGGTACCCCATACACTCGAACACTTGATATTCCTTGGCTCAGAAAAGTTCGTCTATTTTTTATATTCTAACTTTTTTTTTTTCTTGGTAAAGTTTACTGACTTATTTTGCAAAAAAAAAAAAACAGATTTCCCTTCAAGGGTATTCTTGATAGCCTCGCCAACAGGGCATTTGCCAGAGGTACGAACGCTTGGACTGATACTACGCACACTGCTTATACAGTCACTACTGCTGGCTCAGAGGGCTTTCTGAGATTACTCCCGGGTACGTTGCTGGTCTAACTTTTTTTTTTTTGCTTTCCAAGACTAATCCTCATCTACTTTTTACACAGTTTACCTCGATCATGGTCTGTTTTATTCATCTTCAACATGCAAATTCTATTGAGAAACCAAGTGCCCATATGTCATCTTGTAGTTCTCTATCCCACTATCACCTCTGAGGGCTTCACCACCGAAGTCTACCACATCAATGGAAAAGGCGAGGATGCTGGTGTGGTTTATAGCGAGATGCAAGGTAGGGAGAACGGCGCAATGGACTTGATGGTACTCCGGTAAGCCTATCCATGCACTTTTCTCGGGCTAATTAATTGGAACTGACCCTTGTATCTATCTTTAGCAATCAGCGCTTGTTATATCCATCCACCAGCGCTTACCGTAGTGAGACTGGGGGTTTGATGGAAGCTCTTCGAGTCTTGACAGTCGAGCAGAGTAAGCAAAACATTTTAATCTACCCACCCTCAATCATTCACAGACTCTTCTTCCTTTGGTACTTATTACAGTTAGAGAATACCATCAATATTACTATCGTCCTCATAACCTTCAACTGATCGTCACCGGAAAACTCAAACCGACTCAGCTATTAGAAGTTCTTAACTCTCAAGTCGAGCCCTCACTCATCCAACATGGTCACAACCAAGTGCCTTCAGGATGGAAAAGGCCATTCTTGGAAACTCCAAGCAAAGGCGGTGCCCGAATTGATAAGAGTCAGACGGTCGAAGTTGAGTTTCCTGAGAAAGATGAATCTAGTGGTGAGGTACAAATCAGTTGGGTTGGACCAAGCACCAATGTGAGTGCCATTTATCTCACTGCTGCTGCTGCTTATACGTTTGAATACTGTTCGCTTACGAAAAGTGTCATCTTAATAGGATTTTCTACTACAAACCGCCTTGGAAGTTTTGGGCACTTACCTAACTGATTCAGCTGTCTCGCCTCTGGCTAAAAGATTTATCGGTTGGCACACTCTTTCTTTATTCTAGTACTAATAAACCAATCTAACAGATTCTTTTTCTTTTTGGTAGAAATTGACTCCCCACTATGCACGGGTGAGTTCTATGTAATACTCAGCTTTTACCTCTACTGAAAGAGCTAATCCAAACTCCTTCACAAAGATATCACGTTCCATCCAACCGATGCGGAAAAAACGATCACGACCGTCTACATTTCATCCGTCCCTTTTGAACAATTGAACACCCTCGGTGAATCGTTCAAGAAGGCCCTGGCCGAGGAAGCCGCTGCGATAGACATGGACCGCCTGAAGATGGTCATCGAGCGAGCAGCCTTAAAAACTTGCAATGCCATGGAAGTAGATGCAGCTGACAGTCTATCATCAGCCATCATATCTAACTTCCTCTACGGTGGTAGCTCTGATTTGGTATCTGGTCTGTCAACCGAACTCGAACGTTACAAAACTTTATCTACTTGGTCTGCCGATCGCTGGTCAACGGTCTTCAAGGAGTAAGTTTTTTTTTCTGGCAAACCACACTCTATATATGCGTTTTAACCCTGCTCGTAATTTACATAGATGGCTAGTGACCCCACCGAGCACATGTATCATCGGAAAACCATCAGCCAAATTGTCAGATAAATTAGAGGCCGACACCAGGCAAAGGCTAGAAGACACTCGAAAGAAATATGGCCCAGAAGGTCTACAGAAGCTAGCCGAAAAACTGACCCACGCTCAAGAGGTTAATGATCGTCCTTATCCCGACAAATTCATCGCCGACTTTCCGATACCAAAGCTGGAGAGCATCCAATGGATCGACGTCCAAATCGCTAATGGCAATGGAACTTACTCCAGTGATCTTCAATCTCATATCGACCACAAGGATCCAGTCACTTTGCCTTACTTCGTCCAATTTAATCGTGAGATAATTTGGGCTAACAACCGACAGGCATCTGATTTTTTTTGTCATGAAGTTAACCAATAACCCCTAATATTTATTTTATAGATATCAAGTCGAACTTCATAACTATCCATGTCAACTTATCACCTCCCGACCTACCTGCAGAGCTGTTTCCCCTCTTGCCTACCTACCTTCACTCGTTTTTCTCGCTACCGGTCAATCGGAAAGATGGAAGTCGTCTTTCATACGACGAGGTGGTCCATCAACTGGATACGCAAACGGTTGAATATGACATCAATCTCGGCTGCCCGATCACTCAGACTTTAGAGATTTACATGAAGGTTGAGAAATCGAAGTATCCCACCGCGGTGAGCTGGTTAGGCGACTTGCTCTGGCGAAGTGAATTCGATGCCGATCGGCTACGGATCAATACCACTAAGATCTTGCAAACCATCCCGTCGAGGAAGAGGGAGGGCAGCGACGTTTCTGCTGCACTCTATGACGAGATGACGTTCTCTGCCGATCTGGCACCTTTGACTTCCAATAACCTTTTCAAGCAAGAATCTAGCTTGCCACTCGTGTTGGAAAAGCTCAAGTCTGAGCCAGAATCCTTGATCAAGCAAATGGAACAGCTCCGTTCTCATCGTCAGTTTCTTTGCTTCTTCGCCCTTGCACCACCCGTCTTTGTGCTCAGAATCTGCTTCTCTTGTTATCATTTTACTAGTGCTCAAGCCATCATCCCTGCGAATCAGCGTCTCCGGTGATATCATGTGTTTAGCAGAACCCAAGTCGACGTGGCTCAAACATTTCCAATCTTTGGAGGTAATTTTTTTTTTTTATGAATCCATGCTATTTTTGTTTTTTCAATCGAGAAGACTGATCAATTGTTGCACAAACCTTAGCCTGCCAAACTGCACAAACCGTTGTTGGGAAATGCTGTGCTCTCATCTGACGGCGCTCAGCCTTCGGGCAAGGCACTTGTGATGTCAATGCCTTCGATCGAATCAAGCTACGCATACCATGCAGCCAAAGGTATTTCCACATTATGAATAAAGTGTCACTACATGCTTTTAATTGATTTTCAATTTTTTTTTTCTCTTTAGGTCCACAGGGATTCGACCATCCCGACAGTGCGGCATTAACAGTCGCGATCAGCGTACTAAATGCGATGGAAAGTTACTTGTGGAAGGCGATCAGGGGGACCGGGTTGGCTTACGGGACCTCGATCGGCGCGAACGCGGAGACCGGACACGTCTACTTGAGCATCTATCGTAGCCCGGATAGCTCGAAGGCGTTCCTTGAGGCTGGCCGTGTGATCAAGGATTTGGTTGATAAGAAGGTGAAATGGTTCTCTTCTTACTTTTATTTTAATTAGGCTGCTCATCAGCCCTTGTTTTCCTGATCACAATATTCCTTAATCTAGTTGAAATTCGATCACTTGATTCTCGAATCCGCCAAGAGTAGCTCGGTCTTTGGAGTAGCATCTAAAATCGCCACTGGACCTGATGCTGTAAATCCTCTCAATTTCATTTTCTTCATTCTTCCATATTTGTAGAACTTACTCAACGACGGCCTGTCTTGTTCTTTGTCTAGGCTTATCGAGTCTATGCCGACGTCGCCTTGAAAGGGATCTCTAAAGATGCTCTCAGGCAGCAGTTGGAACAAGCAAAAGTAAGCATCCCCCACTACAACAGAGCCCGAGCTATCGTTTCCTTCCTGCCCCCCCGCCCAAAAGAAAAGGATGACAACTGATATGAAGGTAATTGTAAAATTTGATCGATGTCAATTAACCAGTCGGTGACAATCGACGACGTACTCGAGTCGATTAAGAAATACTTGTTGCCGATCTTCGACTCCAAGACCTCGATGGCCGCGATCGCTTCTTCGGCCACTAAGGCTGAACAGATCTCTGAGTACTTCAAACAGGCCGGCTACTCAGTCGAAGTCAGAGAGTTACAGAACAATTCTGCTTTGGGTTTGGTTGAGGATGATGCGGATGATGCGGATGACTCTTTGGACTCTGATGCGGATACTTCTGCTAGTCGTTCTTGATAGTTTTGATTGCATTTTCTCCTACTTCAAAAGAAAAAAAAAAATCATCGTTTTTTTTTGTCATTATACCCTCGTCATATGATTACATATTATTAGCAACTTGCAACGTTTTTTTGATCGTTTTGTTTTTGGAGCGTTGGTTTGCTTGATGATCCAACTGAGGGTCAATATTTTGTTCAGCCGGTGCCAGAGGTCCATGAGGAAGTGGCCATGCTGAATGACCCCATTCAGATTGAGAAAATAGTAAATGAATTTCCCTCAGGTCATGGAATTTTTGATGAAGTTTGGTTGCACTGCTACTCAGTTGAATCATCAGCATACACATTGACAGCTGTTTTGTGATAACTTCACAGCAACTGATGAAGAGCTTGCTCGATCCAGATCTCTTGAGTGCTCTGCTTGGAATTATATAAAATAAGTCCTCAAGGAAATTGGTCTCCTTGATGGAACGTAAAAGTTGCTGATTAGAAGGTCTCTTGATTTGAGATACTCCGAGTGATTCCGAAGAGTGCATAACCTTTACTGAGTGGCAGTGACTTCTTTAAGGCGAGGCGATAATTCCATGGACCAAGAAGGGTATGGTTGTGTCCAGTGGAAAAGCCTTGCAGTTTCCGCGTTGCCCTTCAACCTCAGACTAGAGCCAAACCAAACGGCCACCGAAACCAGACACACACCCTCGGATACCCGATTCCCGTTCGACTGCCCATTGTTTGGTTGGGTTGGATGCACACTTGCAGTTCAAGTCGAAAAGAGAAAGAACTCCTGCCCACAATGCACATTCAAAATTTCAAGAGTTTCAACATTACCATGCGTAAATCAACAGCTTGAGATGGGGATGTAAATATCTGTAGACTGAGAAGCTCTGCACCCATGGTTGAACTCAATCACCGACCGGCTTTGATTTGGTTATTCATGCGTCCCATTTCTGGTTGCAAATTGGACAAGGATCCAGAGTGCTCTTGATTTCTAGCCATCCGCGAAAATGTGGACTGCTATTGCAAGCTTGGGATAGGACTCGGGAGAATGGAAAGCCTCGGCTCCTGGCCTGTCCATTCTACTCTTGCTGGGCCCTGCCTGGCTCATCCATTCGGCGCTCTTTATACTTGGAGCTGCGAGACACATCGCGTTCATGCCGAACTTGAGTAACCGAAGTCCCTCACCGGGGCCAGTGCCGAGTCGCCCGGCACCCGCGTGAGCACTGTGAGAGTGGTCTGTGCTGCGGGTGCGCGGGTCTTGGCCCTCATGAGATTTGACCTGATAATTTGGCAGACAGCGATTCACCCAACTTGACACCAAATTATTTGCAAGTCATCAACCTCAAGCGAGTCATCAAACAAGTTCCTCGTAACCTGTGACTGCCACCAATCCTTCAATATCCGGCGTTTCTGGGCTTGATCACTCCAACTCTGGGTTTTCTGACCGGTATTCACTGGTTGGTTTGTTTTGAATAGAGACTGGATGAAGATTTGGACTCCATGACTGATTCTTTGACGTTTTTTGTTTCTATCTTTCACTTACTGTAAACAACTTGAGACCTAGTCCATCAATCTATTCTTGCTTAACATCGCCGTTGGTTGGCCGCGTTTTTTTTACTACAGGGACAAAGCCTTGTTAGTCTTTATATCTTTCGTATTGCTTGTCTGTATATTTCATTAGAATATTTAGAATATGATGATGAGAAATGGATAATAATCATGCGTATTTGTTCACCATAAAGCAGTCTTTTTCCTCGAATTGCTTACGGATCTTTCAACAAAAACAAATATGTTTGTTCAATTCAAAAATTGGGTCGGAAGTTGGTAGCGCCAGGACGCCAGTTTAACATGATGGTTTCATTTTTAGAGGTTACAGGACTATCATTCTGGCGTAGGATTTTGAAAGAAACATCAAAGATCTGGATTGGAAAAGGATCGGAAGTCAACAAGCCTACAAGCAGCCTGCACTCAAAAAACGGACACAGACTTGGTCTTCAACATTCATGTTATCAAGAAGAGGCACTACAATTGGATGTATCATCAAGCTGGGAACAAGTAGGGAAAGCACAAGAACAAATATCCCATCTCGAAGAAGGTTCTTCAGTGGACAACCTTCTCCATCATCCTCAAACCCACTTCGTCCCTCCACACCTGTCCAAGTGAAGGACAAGCCAATCGGAACGAGCATCGCAGCAGCAGAACATGCGAAGCATACCACGTCCCAAATCATCGAACATAGACCCTATCAAGTTAGTCATTGCTTAGACGTCTGAGTTCATACTGATTTTCTCATCACCTTTTTTTTTTATTTGTCCAGCAAGATTCGTTAGATGCCTGTCTGGACGCGCTGAGTCGTGGCGTCTCTAGGATTGGAGTCAGCTTACCCACAGGTCTGTGTTATTTTTGAACAACAGCCGTCGAAAAACTCAGTGCAACTGACGTGTGATTTAATGTGTCGCGTATAGGAAGTGGGAAGACGGTAGGTTTCTCTTTTTCAGAACTATGAACAACTTGAATTGTAAGGTTGATTGAGCTCATTGCAATTGCCAAGGTTCATATATTCCCTCACGCAAATAGACTGTATTTCTCAATCTGATCCACAAAATCTCGGGCAAACGAGTCGATTCCAATGAAACCCCGTGGAGAGCGATGGTCATTGTGAATAGTGTTGAGCTCGCACATCAAACAATACGCCAATTGAAAAAATTGTTCCCTAATACAGTAAGCAATTCAAGAATATCATGATCGCAGTATGGGTCCAGTTTATACTCATCTACTCCGGCTTCTGTTGGTATTCTCCACATCTCCTGATTGTATGATGTTAGTTAGTCGGCACAGAGCAAGGTGCAAAGCACTCATCTGAAGATGCGGAGGTAGTTGTAGCAACCTACCAAAGTTTGCACTCCAAAGAACGATACAGAAAATTCGATCCTGCTCACTTCAAATGTATTATAGTTGATGAAGTTGAGTTTTCCGTTTGATCCCAAACAGAGCAGACCTGAATAATCTGATAGTGCAAGTCCGTCAAATTAAAGCTTATTTCATCGGGGGTTTGGTTGTTTTAGGCCCATCATGCCCTGTCATCCTCGTACCTGCAAATCCTTTCTTACTTCAACCGGGATATTGATCATCAAAATAGTCCTCGATCGGACAACTCTGATAATCTTAAACCTCATCAAGTGCCCATCATTGGGTTTTCCGCGACGTTTTCAAGGCACGATCGATTGGCTTTGTCGACAGTCTTTGAAGAGATTGTATACCATTACGAGCTGAGGGATATGATCCAGGCCGGCTGGTAACATCCTTCCCACTCGTTTCTGCTTGCAATGTGTTGAACTGACCTGAGTCGGTCCATGATTTTTCATCAATCTATTCTTAACCCGTTCCTTAGGCTTGCCCCTGCTCGATTCACATCCGTAAAAGTGGATATGGATCTCAGTCAAGTCGCGCTGACAAGTGGTAAAGAGCCAGATTATGTCCCGGATCGATTGGCAGAAGTCGTAGACACAGATCCAATCAACCAACTTTTGGTCTCCATTTATCTCGAGCGAGCTGGTGACTATCAGCCCCTTTTTTGGTTGAGAACCCAATAGTGATTCCAAAATTGATTTCAACCTAATGTTAAATCCTTCTCAGCAAGCCGCAAATCGACTTTAATTTTTACGATCAACATCCTCCATATGTATCGGTTGGCGAACAAATTTCGAGAGGCTGGGATTGACGCACGAGTAATCTTTAGCGGCACACCCCCATTAGAGCGTAAGATACTACTGGACGAGTTCAGATCCTCAAAGTTTCCAGTTTTAGTCAATTGCGGTGAGAGGCCATTACCAATGAAATGTTTCAGTATTTTGGAACCTATCACAGAGATTGATTGTTGCTTTTGTTATTTTGTTGAAGCCGTCTTGACCGAGGGAGCAGATGTTCCAAATGTTGATTGCGTTATCCTGGCCCGTCCAACCCGCTCAAGGACTTTGTTGACACAAATGATCGGCCGAGGGTTGAGGAAGTCCTCTGGGACCGGTAAAACTGATTGTTTGTTGATCGATATCTTTGGGAGTGTCGAGAGAGGTGTCATAGTAAATCCCTCATTGGAAGGGCTTGACCCTAACCTCATAGATAATGGTAAGCAAGGGATCGGCAGTCAAGTGGAGAGGATTTGCATCCAATTGATCTCTCGGATCTTCATTTCATGACAGGCCATACCGAAGAATCAGGGCACCTTGATGGCGTGGCGGCGGTTACTGAGGACTTGGAGGAAGCAGATCCCCAGCATACCCCTTCAGAATCGGTCACAGTAAACCGTTATACCTACACCGATTTCGATTCTCCTTTTAAGAATGAACCCGACTACAAAAACGTTGGGGATCTCTATCGACTTACACGATACAGTTGGGTGGCTTGTGGCGATGGGATATTTGTACTAGAGCTGTTAGGTCAAGGACATTTGCGAATACAAACCGAACGAGAGGAAACGGGCGATATACGCTACGTGATATACTTTGTGCATACAATGCAGCGTACAGATCCAAGCAACAACGAATCAAGTCGAATCTTCACTAAGCCTCAACTTATTGGCACTGCAGAAACCATTCCGGACGCGATCAAGACTGCAGACGCGTTCTTGGGGAAAGCCACTAAAACGAAAAAATCTGGCTTGTCGTTGGGTATCGTCCGTAGCCTGGAAAGAAGAGCGTCGTGGCGGCGTTTACCTGCGAGTGAACAACAAATTACGATCATTAAGAAGAGGTTAGGATCCAAATTGCTAGAAGGTCTCGCTCAGGATTTCGATCATTTGGATAAAGGACAGGCCGCCAACCTATTAACCAGATTAAATCATGGTTTCAAATCTCGTTTGAATCGACAGCTCGTTCAAAATTCTCGGATCCAGAAAACCTTAGAAAAGCGCAATAACGCTCAGATCAAAGTTGGAAAACTGATGGATCCTTGACCTCAAGCACAGCTATTCAGAGAAACCGATAGATAGGAAAGAGAGGAAAGCTGCTATCAGGGAAGAGATATCATCAATGTGCCGCAAATCTTTGTGTTACAACAGAGTCATCACGCACAACTGTGCTGGAATTTGTAGTAACCCTTATTAATCCATCTATGTATGTCGTCTGTAAACTATTTGACTCCCCATATAAACAATTTAAAGCTGTTGAAAATCATACGCAGCTACCACTTCATCTTCGCAAAAAAGTGCCTCCGTTGAGCAAGTGGTACGGAAGTCTCTTTCCTGTCGTCTAATTGTTAGCTATGTAGATAGCTAATGAGAGTCACTCTCTCTAACAGTAGAGGCTCGTATCATTATTGTGCTCGTGAGATCAAATCTTTAGCTATTGTGTGGTTGCGTCTAAGCAACAATCAGAAGACGGTTTACAGAATGACTGCGCCGAACCGACCAAATTTGCATATCATATTCTCTACAAAGAGTACTAGCCTATTGGTTGACCTATCTGCTCTTCTTTTTAGATCAGATTGTGCCTCCCGGATTAACAAGCCGCTCCTCATTGGTATCAAAGCCTTACATAATGAGATTGAGAGGCTTTTCGCGATTCTTCAAGCGACTCCAATTCCACCCCTTTTCTCTTTTTGTTGATCGATGGCAAGAGAGAAAGGTTAAACTTCGAGGGGTTTCAAGGAAGTTGAGGAAGCGCATGAACCGTCCCCAATTTGCAAGCTGTAGAAAAACTCAGGCAGACTGAGGTGCAACTGCTCTATGTATAGGGTCAGTCGATGTGATCTGGGCCACCGTGGGGGGTTTGATTTCATGTCTGTAAGGTGCCCGTAGATTGGAGACTCGTGAGTCAAATTGTGACTGGGAGATTTTGGTCTCGTCTGTCTCTATGCCCACAGGTGTGTAAGTACCTGCAGTAGGCATAATGATAGTTTTGGGCGAAGACCACAAACATTGATGTGGAGCTATGCCAGCAAACTATAGGTTAGCTTAGATTAGTCACTGCGAAACTCAAGATGCAAATTTGCTCGATCCAGGCTTGATGGCAATGATGCCTTATAAGTTATGGGCGCGCCTCTACTAGTACTGCTCATAATCAAGCGGGACATTGAGGTCTGATGAAAATCCGGACTGGGAATTTCGTGGGCTCCAAAATTCCAACTGCCCCTGGATTCGCTTAGATGCCGAAATGTACATTTTCAAAGCTATGCACACTAGCAGCCTGAAGACAAGAATGTTATCTACTTACAAAGGGTCCGGAGAGGTGTGGGGAATTCGAGATCTAAACGCGTTGAATGTGTATGAACCACATGTTTTCTTTGAGTACATACTTATAATAAAGCTTCAAAAATGGCTCGAAATGATCAGGAATGACTCCCTGACCTTGCAGTCTTGGATGTGTCGGCAAAGGTCAGCAACACTTTTCTGGGGAATGGTATGCCGTATGTTGTAGTTTTTGGGTCCCCTGGGGGACCTGCTGAGCCTGGCACTTTTGCCTTTTGCGGCACAGTGTTTTATAAATTTTAACGTCGAAAAACAACCAACAATCCAATTAACAACAAGGCGCTAGTTTCATGTAACATCACTGTACCCGGCCCTCAGACATTTCCGATTCCGGTGTGGTTTGACAAAACGAAGTGAGAAATCGGCAAAGGAACGACGGTGCAGCTCTGCTCCAAAGAGTTAAAAAGAAACATGCGATTTCCAATGGGTAAGACCAAGTTTTGGATGCATTTGCATTCAAATGCTGGCGTCCTGATAGAGCTGGATAGGCGTGGGCTGGATATGGTAGTCAAGCCCAAATTGGCTTGGAATCATGGACGATCTACAGCCGAAGTTAGCATGTGCGGATTATTGGGTTCATCACAGCTCGTGTCCAGGTTTCTTGAGAGCCTTTGCCCATTAATGTTTGCTATTTTTTCCTTAAGAACCAATATTTCTTGACAGCCAAGGGCATAAATAGTAACTCAGTCCAAAGGGAAGTCTGTCAACTCTTTTTTCTCCCGGCCTACCCCTGCAGCGCTGTTCGCGTTCAGATAATTTATTCTATTGATTAGATTCGATATTCCCCTACATTTCTTCAATCTCGCCAACCACAATCTTATCATCCTTTCAAGTATTTCCTCACGCTTGGAACAAAAGAAACATTGACAACATGATGCCCTGCTGCGGACCTCCGAGCAATGCGATCGCCCAAATCAACATCCCTCGAAAGATTCGGTCTGAATTACAACCTGGCGATCAGTGCTTCTTCTCCGGTAGATTGATTGGACTCAATAACGCGGGTACTACTCCCATCATACAATGTAACCCAGAGGATGTCACTAGGGTTCCTGCTGCAGATCGGGACCTACTCGCACCCACTGACCCTAACAAAGTATATGTGGAAGGCTTGGGTATAGTCATAAAGCGAGAGGAACTCAAGACCGAGCCCGTCTTGAAGTACCCACCCATCATGTGCACAGTAAAACACAACGACTGGGATCAAGCAGTAAGTGAGATTTGAGATTATTGAAGATATAAAGCGGCAGTCTTCGGTTTGTCCCTTTCTGTTTTCTCATCAAGACACCCACTCTTCATTTTCACAGAAGCAGGAGGATGTCGAGTTCAAAGTACGCTACATTATCCCACCCACAACGCTACTGAAAAGTCACGCTTTGATCCAGAAGGGATGTGAAGTAAGCATCGCTGGCTACCTCATCAACAATCCGGCCAGCAGCCACGAACCATGGTTGGTACAGGTAAATCCAAAGAGACTCGAACTTCTATTCAATTCTCCCATAAAATAGACGTCTAATATTGATTTGATCTGCAGACCACTGGCGTCAGCGTCTTGAAAAACCCACCCAGATGCCGCAAAAAGGAGATGAAGGTACCCAACAAGAAATCGTAAGCACCGCATCCATCAGTATCACTGGCGACAAGTGTCTGAAACTTCGCGCTTATTCACGTAGCATTGGACCGGCAAAAAAAACAAGTCAGGGAGCCCTTCCAAAACGAGTACCGAGCTCTGAACCCGAATGTTGTTGTAAGGCTGATAGAGGAGAAGGAAGTAGCTCGGGATCTACACTTTACCAAAGAATCATTCCAGCTCGATGTTCCGCTGATCCAATCCCCGGATTCGAAGGTCTAGACATCAAGGGCAAGGGCAAAGAAAAGTGTTAAATTCATTCTCATTTCGACACTATTGGGAAAAAAACGCCTCATCGGAACCGATTCAACAGCTGGCATGTCGTCCCCCCCACTGGTTCAAAAAAAACGCAATTAACCAAAACTTGCCAGAAACAAAACTAGCTGCACATAATAGATAATTTTCATTCTTGTATTCAAAGAATGTATTCATTTGGTTTTGAATCAGAACATACCTTTTAATATTTATATATCGTTATTTTCATCAATGTAATTCCGATTTTTCAACACATTTTTAATATGATTTAATTTCCTTGTTTTTTTACTGTAAAATTCCATACTCCTTTTTGTCTAGACAGCATTTCATTTTCAGTTATGCTATTATTCCATTCTTGTCATTGCTTGTTGGTACACTTGTATAAGTTAAAGTTGTAAGGGATTGAAATGATTCTTCTGCCTTGATGTCATATCCTTGATGAAGAAGAATTGAGGAGGATGTAAACTAAACTGGCTGGGCAACCAACACCTTCCACTGCAATATTTATTTTCTCAAATCACACAAATCCAGTTTGAAAACCCTTCAAGGAAATGCATTCAGTAAGAAAGGAGATATTAAATAGTATCATGGCCAATAGAATCAAATGAACATTTTATTCTTGCATGATCATGGAAAGACTGAAACTATTCATGCAATTGAATTTCTAAATTGGAATTTCTAGAATTCATCTTCAAGGAATATCCTTTTTAAGAAAATGGAAGTCAAGTAAGGTAAGGCACACCAATCAAAAATTGAAGATGTAAAAAGGATCCAGGTCTTCTGTGATGGTGCTTTAAAAAATAAAAGTTTGATGTTTATGGACAATAGGGTCTCCCAGATATCAACTGGTGTCAATTTTCTTCTTGGAAATGGGTTCTTTGGATTTCTAACATCACTATAATAATTTTTACCAATTAAAAAGAGAGAAACATAGGAAAATTCAAACCAAATTCAAAAGAAAATCTCTACTAATCACTGAAAAAAAAAATGCCCAACTGCCATCATTAACATACATGATAATCCAACATTGATTTGGTTGAAACTCAACATTGATCCCAAAACCATTTTTATTTCATCAAAGCTAGGTTTGAATAAAAGGTTCAAAATTTTTGAGTAAAAAAACAAGATTTCTCAAAAGTTAGAGCTTCTGTGTATCAGATGGTGACATTTGAGTTTTTGTTTTGCAGTGAATACCTAATTGTAGACATTCTGTTTGAATTGAAAACTCAATGTTGACTTGAAGATACCTTGAAGCATACTGAAATTATGCATATTCAAGCTCTTTGAAAAATTCATAATTGATGACTAAAGATAGAAAAGGTTGAAAATGGTTTTGTTGAGTCAAAATAGTAATAAAAGTGATGGGTTTAGTTTGACCTCTTTTTGTGATTTTGTATGATTTCATGCTCATGAGTCATGGTGAGGTGAACCAAATCAACTGAACTCAGATTGCTGAAAAAAGATGGGGAAAAAATCAGCTCCATTCTGAAATTAGGAATGAACCAACAATTACATACAATGTGGTCAGAAGTTGAAACATCCACAAGTTTTCTCTGGATCTTCAACAGGGTTGTCAATTTCACTCAAATATTTGAGGAAATATTTCACATCCTTCTGGTTTGAAATCTTGTGTGATGCATATGTTTTCCAATTACAATTTTCCCCAACAATGACAGATAATTTGTCATTTGATTGCATTAATTCATGCATGGGCTCATCTTCTTTGGTATCTCCAACAGAAACTGCAAACAAGGACTTTTCTTTGATGGTCTGAAGTACTGCTTCCATCAAAGTTCCCTTGTGGAAGTGATCTGTGTGAGACAGTAGAATATGACACATATCCTCCCATGGTTGCTGATAGAAATGCCAGTCATAGTTTCTAAATCCATCTTTCTCTTTGTTTTTCTGAGATTTCTTATCTTCTACCTCCATAGCTCTAACCAGTTTATCCTTTGCAGATTCCTTTGCTTGTTCTTTACAATTATTGTCCAGAGTATTTTTTGGAAAGTCAGTTGTACTTCAATTTAGTCAAGTCATAACCCAGATTTAACTCTCACCTGTGGGGAGTGAATTTTTAAATTTATATTCCAAATGATAGTTGCCTTCATCCTCAATTTCTACACCCTCAAGACCTGTTTCAAATTGAGGAAAGCATGTTACTTGTGGGGTTAAATTGGCTTTTCCAAAAACTGAAATTTAAGATTCCTACTCACTCAGTTCTGAAAAAAAGATTTTGTCAGAAACAGGCTTCTTTGGCTATCAATTCTCATCTTAATGAATTCACGAAGAAGGAAATACCAGATACCTACCCTCAAAGATTTTACTGATTTTTTCTTTCATCATTGTCTTTTTTTCCTGGAAAATTGGAAGTTTTGGAATCTCTTCATTCTCGGGTACGTGGATCTGTGTCCCAACTTTCTCGCCCAGATGTATACCAGGAATGTTGCGAATGAAATCGGGTAGGCCTTCCCAATATCGCGCAGTTATGATCCAAACTTGGTTATTTGGGTTTGCGGCAAGTTTCTTCAGAGCGCGAACCACGGTCTTGTCCTGTTTATCACGACTACCTGGCCTTTTGGGTCCCAAAACACCCTAAAATCAATCAAATTCATCAGAAGGAACAATACCATTACATAAACGTCTGGCTGACTTACATCGAAGTCAAGGAAGATGTACCTCATCGTCGCTGATTTATAATCTTCCCTTATTTCTTGATAATCAAATATAGGCACCGTATTGAAATCCTTCGGCTCGACTTTCCTGGCCCTGTTGATATTCTGACCATCTATGACCACTTCAGAGGCATTCAAGGGCTGAAATATTTGGGAAAATAAAAATACTATTCCGATTATGCTGTAGAACATTCTCATAGCGCGGAGTGTTGGCTGTTTTCAATTCAAAATTAGAAGCTTGACCGAGTCACTAAGCTAACCTCTACGGTGTCTTCCTCTAATTTCAGTTAGATAGGAGGATGGGGTAGCTGAAGGAAAATTATTTGAGCAGACACGCTGCTGGGCCGAGATAGTACGGGTTCTTTATTGGCGATGAGAGGGGGATTTCTCATCCCAAATAAGGGAATACACCGTTAAGACAAACCGCGAAGTACAACCTTACAAACGTTCACAAGCTCGCTGAGAAGTCTCCTCGATGTGCACACAGTCTGGAGTCGGCCTACGAATGTACATACACTGGGCTAGGGTCCAGGGAGACTAGGAAAGCCTGTAAGGGAATTGTATTGGCAGTAGGTAGGACAGCAGCTCTCTGGTCTTCGATGAGGGATTCATCAGTGAGACGGACCTCTGTGCAGCCTACAGGCTCGGCGACCAGTTCCCCCGATGTAGGCCACATACATCTCTTCCGGTGGAACTGGGAGGGCTAGTACGATAACGCTGAGAAGGTTATTACTCTGCTCGTCGAAGATAGTATTCACCGGTGAGACAAACTCAAAGACTTTATGTTCTGGGCAGTGAACTCGCAGTCAACTACAACTATCCTCGGTGTCACGGTCATCCTGGAAAGTGAAACCACCCCACCAGATGTACTTTGAGGTCCCGGGGACATCACACAAAAAAATGTCCCAGAGTACAAAAACGTGCAAAAAGCAGCTCCTCCGTCATAACAGCCGCACATCGAGGCCTTTTTGATGCTTTTTTGATCCCTGGGATGGTGCTGGGCTAATCAAACTTAACCAAGTCCCTGCCTGAGGCGGACCAAAGGCCTCCCTCTGGGAGGAAGTTATGCCTGACAGGTGATTTTCACCTGAGAGGTAGGGCATTTGTCCTTACCTTTCTGCTGCCTTGGTACAATACATTGCTACATTTTACCTGCGACGCTCTTTTTGTGTTTTCCGGTCCTCCCAAATCCTGCAAAATGAGGAGTGTAGCCAATAAACAACAATGAACACCATGTGATTTTGATAATTCATAGAGGCAGCCCAATGGTGATCTTGATTCATCAAAAATTAGGCAAGATGCAAGGCTTTTTGATGATCAAGAAGATTGTGAAATGTTATGTGGTTTCAGAGCCAAAGCAAAGTTCATGAAAAATGCCATATTTGAAGATTTGTCTCAGGCCAAAAATCACCAATACCACATAAGTCCCTCCGGTGGAGGCACTTTGCGCCCCCACCATTGGGGCTTAGTTAAGTTTGTGGGGTAAGGCGAGGATCCCGGCAAGCCCCCTAATAGGGGGTTGTTGGAAAAGGTATGAGAAAATGGCAAAAATGCCAGAATCATACAGTGCCATAACCCTCTTTTGTGTAACACCGCACCTGCAAAATTATTTTTGAACTTTGAGCTGTATGTTGGTTGGCTCAAATAGGGCTACATACCCTTACTATACATTTTTGGGCTCTACAGAAGCAGTAGAACCCAAATATATAACCACAAGTCTGTAGGTGCAATAATAAAAAAGTTTGGGATTTATTTTTTCTAGGACTTGGAACAGCCACCCAGGGAGGTCATAGTATTGACTTCTGGGGGCTATTATGGACTTATGTATTATGTAGTATGCTTTTAGGGGTGCTATTTACGTAATATGTTAAAAAAATAAAAAGAAAACCCAATACATAAGTTATCTGGCAATGATTTCTTAACAGATTTGGTGGCCCTTCTGACCCTCTGGGAACAAGCTGCTTTACTCACAACCATCTTTGGTGATTCAACTCCTCCTTGCATGAAAGTCGTAAAACATGAATTGGATTTCATCTTAATATGTATGTACTTTAGTAAAAAAATCCAATTTAAAAGTCAAGAAAGTCAAAGAAATGGTTGGAAGAAGCCAAAATTGCCAAAAAAAGAAGGAAAAAGAGAAAAAAATGGTAAAACACAAAAAAAAAACTGAAAAAAACCCTCAAATATTTGGAACACCCCCAGGGGTGTAGTTCAAAAGAGGGTTAGGGCACTGTACTCTTGAAATATTTGGCCCCAGATTGGACATTTTATCCCCCCCCCCATTTTTAGGGTATTTTAGCTTGAGCATACTCTTGACAAGGTATGGAAAAAAAAAATGACCTCACGGGGCCCCTGGGTATGAATTTTGTCATGATTCAGACTTTTTCAACACCTCCCCCCCTCTATCCTAGGGCTTGCCGGGGTCCTGTAATGCTGTCCCAGGATTGATCTACAATCCCACCCTGCATAAGTTTTTTTTTTCCCTGAAAAAGTCTCTATTGTCTCACTAAGGAGGAAGAGCTCATCAATGCCATCAGCCCTGGAATAACTTCCCACTGCTGACACAATTCATTGCTGTTTGAAAAATGGCTCATCTTTGCATTTAGCAAAGCCTGCTACTTGCCTAAGGCTTGCCATAGGGAATCAACACTTGAATGCACTTTTTTGCTTTCATTTTTTGACACTTGCATTTCGTTAGGGTTTTCATGGCATCGGTATGTACTCTCTTTGCCTGCATCTCTCTGCACCACTATTTTGGGCTTATTTGCTTTGTCCTCACGTTACTTGATGAAATTTCAAGAAGCATTTTTGTCATTCTTTGGGGGAAAAAAAAATCAAAATTTACATTTATTATTGCACACTCCAGTCTCTTCAAGTTTCTCGTAACTGCACAGTGGCACAGTCGATCTTCCTGTGAATACAGCAGCAGTTCACCTTCAGATACATGTTGTGCAAAGCGGTCCAAGCTATGGCCCGACACCCTTCTCTTCTAGTCTCTAATTGTTGGCACGGTCCTGCCTATGGCAATTCAGAGAACTTCAGTCTAAATGCAGTATGTCTGTATTTACGCTAGAGACATTCATCGACAGGGGCTATGCCAGAGCCAAGTAAATAACATGCTTCCAGCAGCCCCTGTAGGTGCCTTCTCACATGACTCACTCGCATCACGCTTGTCAAAATTTATGAGTTCTGACTGGGTGAAACCTGAATATCTTACAATATACGGATTGGGCGCTCTCAAAAATGCAACCCGCGTATTTTTCTTTATTACTCCTGCTGGTTAGACATCATATGGGTTTTATTCTCATAGTTCATTGAATTGCAATCTAGTAACCAAGGGCAGAAAGTTTCGATTGAACAGTTTGAGTAGCGGGGTCGGTAGCCACTTGTTTGCGGGCCTTGAGGAGCGCGACCTGAATTACACGAGCAGAACAATCAGATGGTGCATAAGCTAGAACGAGAAAGTAAATGCCCACCTTGCGCTCGTGGAATGCCTGTGCCTTGACTTTTCGTTTGGCTTCAAGGGTATCGACAACATCTTTGTAACCCCAACCGTACTCATGACTCAGTCGCTTGATGGTACACCACTTGCGGCCTGGCTTCAATCGCAATACACGGAGAGCTTGGGGGACGACCATTTTCTTCTTGCGGTCGTAAGGAGGGGGCATACCTTCGAAGAGTTTCAATCGTTGAAGGGCAGCGGCACCACGGGCGGTCTTGTGAGGGATCATTCCGCGGATGGCCTTGTAGAGAATCCTCGATGGGGCTCGGTGATGGAAAGGACCACTTTTCTTTGGGTTGACCAAATGTCTCTTGTGCATGTGGTCGGCCCAACGAAGCTAGAACAATGAAGAGGAGAATCACGAGACGTCGTAGGGAGAGGTGTTTAAGGTTTCAATTAGAGAAATCATCAGTAATGGAAGTAGTTCATGCGGGTGGTCAAGGAGAATGGTAATACCTTCAAACGGAAAAAGCTGCCTGAAACGTTGATTTCCTCACAACGAACGACAACGACCTTCTGGCCAGAAATTGCCTGCTTGGCTACGATGGAAGCCAATCGACCAAGGAGATGTCCCTTGCCGTCGATAACGATCGGTGCTGAAGACATTTTCGACATCTGATTACAACATCACGGACGTGAAGAGCGTTCAGATTCGTTCAACAGGATTTCAGCTAGCCATATCCGCGGAAGGGAGAGATGGGTGCGAGATTACCTTGATGAATGATCCTGGGGAATCGGCGGGGTCGTACTAGTCGTCGGGTCTTGATGGTTGATGCGCTCCGAGGTGGGCAGGGGGTGCCAGAGGCAGATGGAAAGCGCAGCAGTCCCCAGCGGGCTCTGCGCTGAGTAGAGGTTAGGTTTACGAGCTTGACAGTCTCATCAATAACGCGCGGGCCGGAACATGGTACCCGCACCGTCCACATAAGCCCCTACCCCCCGGTCCCTGTCGTAGAACCGGTGAATCCCTTCGGTCAAACAACCCAGTGTATGGGGGGAGCGCCGGTACCAACGAAGCCAAAAAACAAGCACGTTATTGTGACCCAGCTTCTGATTCGCGACAACGCTCAGGTATTCTGTTAAGAAAACAATTGCGCAAATCGGTCGGCAAATGATTGTATGAGACCTCAGCTACATCGGTGGACAAACTGGTTGGGTCAAAGGGCCCCATTCAGCTATTGTTGTAATTGATGTGTCCCTTGTGCTCAGCTTTCGATCAAAACTAGTGGGGAACAAGGTTCTGCATAATTGTACAAAAATAAAATAAAATATGATTCTACATAATTGAGATCATGGGAGCATGTCCCAAAAGTCATTCAGGAGATTAAGCTTCTAAAAGCCAAGATCAGCTCCGTCTCAGATTTCAATCTATTTTGCTGGCAAATCACTGAAGCATCACCTGCAGGAGCTGAATTCTATTGACAGTTAAATCAAGGTAGCCAGATAAAAGAAGCATCCATTAATTACTTATTTTTGCTGATTGAAGGAACTTGTAAATTAAATCTTGATCATTAAGGTCTGAAGCCATGGTATCTCAAATTGCTCCCCTTTCCTTTTTATCAGAGAATTAGGGCAATCCTATCTATAATCTAGGTCAGATCAGTGAAAACATTTTGCACCCTGGAATTTTTCATCATCTAAAATTTGGAAAATGAATCTATCTGTGACTATTGCTTGGTGGGAATTTCTCTTCTTGCTCCTACTTAGCCTGGTTTGTTGTCATTCATCTACTTTGTTTGCATTGCATATCAGTGGCAGATTAGATCACAGTTTTGAATTAGATGAGTCACTTCATAATTCAATGACTTCATTGCCTGTCAAAACATTGAATAAATCTCTTCACCTAGTTGAGAGGGGGTTCTGATACATGTGTTGAGTGTGACAAGAATTCAGTAGATGAAAATTATTCTTAGAGTAATTCTAATCCATATGCAAACTTAACTCCATTATCAACCAGTGGGAAAGATTCTGTTCCACACTTGTGCTGGCAGGTAAGACCCACCCTCCTGAAGTAAGACTGTCCTGAACATGAGGACCTGATTTTCACCATTTTATAGGCTTTTATATAGCATAAAATAGCCTTAAGTTCATATAAAATATGTTATGTATTTTAACTTTATAAATAGTATATAGTGGGTTCCAACTCAAGATAAATATAAAAAATGTTTCCCTAAATGATCATGTTATCAATTTTATTGTCACAAACAGTTACATTAACATTTCTCTTGAATCTTGCACAATTGAATAATTAAAATAAAAGATAACCCAAATATTTAGGAAAAGTACATTTTTTGAGAAAATGTGGATTCTTCTTGCAAAAACTGATCATTCATCTCATCAATGAAAGAGCCCAGTTGGCCAGTATGTTCAAAGTGTCACTTGTTTAAGTGGTTTGAGCTGGTGCTCAGGATATCCTGTTCACACAGGTCAGAGCAGGAAATTGTGCTTTTGATCCCTGCACTTGACCAGTTTCCAAGGGCGGATACATTGGTTCAATTTATGGTACGGTCAAGTATTGTATTATTACTCTTGTTTTGTTACAGTGACAGCTGAGGTAAAATTTTGGTTATCAGAAAAAAACATGGTAGAATGCTAATTTATCAGCCCACCCATCAGCTAAAAGTTAATACAAATCTTCAATTGAGAGAAAGAAATGAGATACATGTTACTTTATGTGCTGACAAATTCAAGTAACATGTCTTGTTTGAGAAAAAATCTTGATACTTTGGGAAGTATTCATGATGTATAGTATTGGCCCACTGTTGTGAAGAGTCTCTCTATTATTTCTTTCAAAGGATTTGGTGCTGATGCTGGTAATGGAAATTAAGAATATGAAAAAACCAATACTTTAAGATATCTCACCAATACATGCAAATGTATTGGCCCACAGAACCACTGTTGGGGGGGGGGGGTTGAGAAATATTTGCTTCTTGAGCTGCCATTCTCTCATCTAAGAATTCTTATACCAAGTTTATATTACTCATTCCGCTTACATGATGAACAGGAGCAGATGTTTGATCCATTTTAATCAAAAAAAATATGTAAAATGGAGCTGTACATGTTGCATATACATCTGTTTCAATTTGGATGTTGGTTGAGCCAACTTGGGGGCTTGGGCAGAAAATGACCTGTAGCTTTAATTCCTCTCTGGAAAAAAGGGATTTATGATTTTATTCCCTCCAGAAAAGGCTCTTTGCACCTCTGCCTTTGAAGGACTTGATTAATTTTGTATACCTTTCAACTGTGGAAAAGCCCTTTTCTAACTGTAATAGTTGTCAGGGACCTAACTCCTTGGCCCCTTCCAAATATAATGTCATAAAAATAAAAATAACAGTTCAAGATAAGATAAGTGAGTGCACAGTTGTGACGCAGAACAATTTGAGATCATAGTTAAAGTATTTTCCTTGCTTATTTTGTCTGCTCCAATCTTTTCGATAAATTAAAACACCTGCAGTTTTCCTCACTATTCCTTCTCCACGTTTGAGGCTGAGATTCTCATTCCATTTCATTTTATGCTTAACTAAGGTCTTGATTGAACCCAGGCAAGCCCCCCAAGAGGGGGGTGTTGAAAAAGTCTGTATTTTATAAAAGAGGATACTGTTTTTTGGTAAATGCAGACCTTTCAAATAGTATTCTTAGGCCAAAAATCACCCCAAAAGAGGTGTTTCCCCAAATAAATTCTGGGTTTGAGGTCTCAATTCCAGATTTTACTTGTCTTGCCCAGTTTCACATACCTAAAATGAGTCATTCCAGGAGTACCTTTTTGGTTAGAGATTGTTTGTTTGTACTCAGGTACCGGTTCAATTTTTCCCAAAAATGGGTACTAAGGACTGCACCCAGCACCTCTTGGTGGGTACCACTGGTACCTATTGAAATATTTTGGAAACTGAAGGTGCATTTATTTCTTATAAGTAAAATGGTCTTTGATAAATACAAACATGTTAATAGAGAAATAAATAGGATGTTCTTCTTTACCTGAAGGCAGAATAATTCTAGACTGAAAATAATAACTAGAGCTTCAAGGTAAAGAGAATAATGATAATAATAATTCTTCTTTTTAATTTTAAGATAAAGAAAAAGAAATAACACCAATACTAATTAATCTAGGGCCTTAATAAAAAAACCCCGCATTTTCCGTGTTTTGACGCGCTTTTGCTGCGGCACAGCACACACACAATCCGTGTTTAAACCCGCTTTTTTGATTAATTTTTTTTGCCATTAATTTTAATTTTTTTGAGTTTTTAAAATTGTTTCCTACACTAAAAATGTGTAGAATTTAATGGTAAAGTCCATTTTGCCTAAAAATAACTTTTGATTCTTAATTTTTTTTTCACTCATTTTTCAATTAATTGTTTGCATGCATGTATGTACTTTATTTTTTATGTTTTTTTGAGATTTTAAAATTATTTCCTAGGTTTTAAAACATGCAGAATTTAATGGTGCAATCCAAATTTTCTAAAACTCAACTGTTCACTTTGAATACTGAAATTAGACACTTTTTTCACTTAAATTTTTACAGCTTAATTTTCATTCTTTTTTGACTTTTCAAAATTATTTCCCACACTTCAAGACATGGATAAAATGATGGTAGCAATTATTTAGCATAAAAACCAAAGATTGGTAATGAATACTGCGACGGGACAGGTTTTTTTTATGTTTTTTAATTAATTTTGGG